TTCCAACCAATCACTCATTACACTCATCAATGTCATTAAGTGTAATTGGATTAATTACATCTTTAAGATTGTAACGTTCTTTGAGTTGTTGATTATATTTCACATAAACTAAGTCATGTAATTTTTTGTGATCAAACTTATTTCTCTTCTTTGAATAAATTTGCAACGTGAATTTAATTAAAATAATATTAATTAGTTTCTTTCTAATTTCTAGAAGAAAGTAATAGGCTTGAGAGATGAGATATTACTTGCTTAAAAACACTTTAGTTGCGTTCACATTCAGATTCACTACATGTCAAGCTCAAAATTTTGAAAGCTAGTTGCTACAAATGTGAAGTTGAATGTCCATACATTCTCCACCATTGAGCTATAAAATGAAAGATAAATTATATTTGAGAAGATGAATTATATCCTTAAAATTAAAATGTTAAAGACTTTGGTGAATTACCAGGAGCAATACTTTTTCTTTGTGATTTTGCAAAGTCTGACCCAAACAGACCACCGCTACTCTTATAAATTGGTAATTCAAGTAGTATGCTTTGTTGCACATCGCAACTTGGCACTAACCTCTTGATACAATCATACAACCCATTTGTAACTTTCAAGTCAAATTCTATTTGAGGATTGTCATAAAAGAACTCCGGGTTTAAAATGTGACCAGCTGCATGTAATGGACAATAAAGCTGACAAGTTCATCTATTATCAATGATTTCAAACCCATCTTTGTATTTGTTTTCATTATTTTTGAATGATTTCAGAATAGCTTCTTTACCTTTCTCCATTGCTTCATAAATATATTTCATGGCTGGTCTTCTTTTCTCATCAACCAAACGCAACACCCGAATAAGAGGAGCCATGATTTTCAAAGTATATACCACATTATTCCAAAATATAGGATTTAATAGAATTTTTTTTGCTTGCTTCCCTTTAACTTCCTTTGACAATTTGTTTTTACACCACTCCTCAGAAGTAAACATCTATCTAAGATTTGCCTTTTCTTAATGAAGCCTTTCTAATGATAGAAAAGAAGTTGCAAATTTAGTAACTGCATGCCTCACCAATTCTCTCTTGTTTGAAAATTTTCTCAACAAACTCAAGGTACTTAAATGACTGTAGATAAAACCAATAACAGATATTCCCTTTTGAATTGTCTTCTTTATCAAGGAAAACTTTCCAATATCTTCAAGCATCAGATCTATGCAATGAGTTGCACAAGGAGTCCAATAAAGATGTTATCTTTTTGCTTCCAACATCTTACCAGCCAAGATATAATTGCTCCCATTATCCGTTATCACTTGCACAACTTTATCTTCTCCAATCTCCTCTACAAGAGCATCAAGCATCTCAAATAATTTTTCACCAGTCTTCACAAAATTAGATTCATCAATGGACCTCATAAACATAGTCCCAATAGGAGAATTGACCAAGAAATTAATTAAACATCTTTGCTTTTGATCCGTCCATGCATTTGACATGATAGAACAACCATGTTTGCTCCATTGCTCCTTATGATTTTTCATCAAAGAATCAGTATATTCTAGCCCTTTCTTAAGAAGTGGAACTCGAATATCATGATAACTTAGAGCTGGTAAATTTGGACCAAAGGTACTAGCAGCTGTGAGCATTTCTTGAAAGTTCTTTAGTTTAACTAGGTTAAAGGAAATGCCAGCTTGATACCAAAATCGAGCTATGTATTGATGGACCCTTGCCTTGGCTTCTTTGTCACATCATTCTCTTATATTTGTTTGTCTCAATTTTTTCTTTTTTCTTTTTTCAATGACACTTTTGGGCTTTCTACAAAACAAGTCCATTGGCCCTTTCTGATTTCCAATGGCAACTCTATGGGTTTGGCTATCCTCTTCATCCTCACTTTCATCATAGTTTATACCTTCTAAACTTCTCACGTTTGGCATCTCAAAATTATTTTGACTCTTTTTTTCTTTTGATATGTTTCAATCTCTTTTCTAACTTCTTCTGGACACTTGGGACAAGCTTTCACGTTACCCTTCTTTCCAATTAAATGTTGTTACACTTTAGTGATTCCAGCACTCATAACTTTTCCACACGTTCCATTTCCTGGTCTATAACATATCTCAAAATCCAAACCGAGTTTAGAGGTCCATCTAAAATATTCCTCGCTCATTAGTCGTTGTTCGGTCAGAAATTTGAGGCTCTTCTGATCAGTCAGAATTATGAAGAATTATGAAGTGTCTTCCCAACAAGTAGTGCCTCCATTTTTGTACAGCCATCACAATTGCCATTTAGATTGTGCCCTATTAGATAGAGTCTGGCTGAGGAAAGCCACAGGCCTGCCCACCTGCATTAGAACCGCCCCTAGCCCTGTGTTTGATGCATCAGTTTCTATAGTAAACATTTTGGAGAAATCGGGGACAGTCAGTATAGGTAATTCGGCCACCAGGTTTTTTAATTTTTTCAGGGCAGCTTGTGCTTCATCATTCCACTGAAATTTATCCTTCTTCAACAGTTGGGTCAAAGGTCTGACTATCTTACCATAGTCTCTAACAAACCTTCTATAGTACCCTGTCAATCCCAAAAATCCCCTCAAAGCTTTAATATCCTTAGGTATTGGCCAGTCCAGCATAGCCTCAATTCTTTGTGGGTCTGCTGCTACCCCCCTCTATTGAAATGATATGCCCTAAGTAAAAAAATTCGTATTTCAGAAAGATTACCATATATAACATAAAATTTCTCCGCCTATTTTTTCTAATTGAGCCTCTCGATCTATTATTATACCTCTAGAAGTTGAAAGAATTACAATCCCCATGCCTCCTAAAATTTTAGGGATTCGTTGATAATTAGAATATATTCGCAGACCAGGTGTACTGATCCGTTTTAAATTTAAAAAACTTTTATATGATCATTTTCTTATTTATTCTATACCGTAGAGTTAAAACTAAATAATATTTGTCGCTTTCCCTATGTTTTCTGATGTTTTCAACAAAACCCTCTCGTAAATAATTGGTTAAAAGTACATTTTTTCTTATTAGCAAATAATTGGTTCTCCTTCAACAGCGCCAAAACAGCCCCTAAATGCCTTTGATGTTCCTCCTCACTCTTACTGTAAACCAGGATATCATCAAAGAAAATGAGTACAAATTTCCTCAAATACGGCTTTAGCACCTCGTTCATAAGAGATTGAAATGTGGAAGGGGCATTGGTGAGTCCGAAAGGCATGACAACAAACTCATAATGCCCTTCATGAGTCCGGAAAGCCGTTTTATGGATGTCATCTTCCTGCATTTTGATATGATGGTAACTGGATCGTAAATCCAACTTAGAAAAAATCACCGCTCCTCCCAATTCATCCAGCAATTCATCAATGATAGGAATAGGGAACTTATCTAGTATAGTAAGCTTGTTAAGAGCCCTGTAATCTACACAAAAATGCCATTAATTCAGCCAAGCTTTCTGTTGGATGGAGCTTTAATTACTTCCGTGAGGCCATTAAAAAATATGCCCTTCAAGTACACTGGTTCTGCACTCTTCAACTGAGCAGCGTAGAGTTCAAACTTCTCTCTGTGTTCTTCTATTGAACCTGTTTGTTTGAGACTCAGCAACAATTCAAAAGGATTTTCAACTTGGGTGGAAACGCCTAATAACCGCTGCCCTAAAATCCACCTAAGTTGGTTGGTGCGTCGAGAACTCCCACTATTGATACCAAGTTAGTGCTTTTCCTTCCATCGCATCGCCACCATAACCGCCTGTAATTTTTCTTCTCTCGACATCCCTTTTAAATCAAAATATCTCTCAACTCTGGTTGTTCAGTTGTACGCATCCTCTCCATCAAAAATAGGTATCTCTAATTTTCTCTACCTATCCACCTTGTATCTTCCGCCATTATGGCTTACCTGTGTTCCGCCCTAAGGAATTGTCTGGCTTCCATTGCTGTTCTCTTCCTCCTGTCTCGCACAAATTTCTTGCACTGAGGCTTGCACTTCATTTAATTGTTCAGTGCTCTTCTCTTTTGTTTCACGCATCGCTAGCAAGCCTTCGAACCCCCTCTCCAATGCCTCCAATCTTGCCTCCATGCTGTGCGTCGACATCATGAATGATCTCCAGGAACTTGTTGCTTTGATACCAGTTGATGGACACCAACTGGTGTGAGAATAAAGACTAAATGATATTCAATTGAACTGATATGGAATTAAAAATTACATAGGAAATTGAGCAAAACGGCTTAAGTACAAAGGCTTCCTCCCAAGATATTCGAGAGTCTGGTCTCTCAAGCTTTCGAACCCCCTCTCCAATGCCTCCAATCTCACCTCCATGCTGCACGTCGACACCATGAATGATCTCTAGGAACTTGTTGCTTTGATACCAGTTAATGGACACCAACCGGTGTGAGAATAAAGACTGAATCATATTCAATTGAACTAATACGGAATTAAAAATTACATAGGAAATTGAGCAAAACGGCTCAAGTACAAAGGCTTCCTCCCAAGATGTTCGAGAGCCTGGTCTTTCCCTTCCCGAAACCACTCAAAAACTGCCTGCCTTCCTTCCTACCTCTTCTCCTCTTTTTATTCTGCTCGTAGCTGCTTAGAGGCAGTTACACTTGCCCCCACTAATTAAAATAACAACTGCTAAAATAATTAATAATTGCTAAGATAATTCAATCTTATTAAAAAACCTAAGTCTTGGCTCTCTTCTTATAATATTTACTTAAAGGGGGCCTAACACATGTTTTAAAGCTGGAGTACTGGTTGAATTTCTTTTTGGCTTGATGTTATTAATCTGAAAAGCCAATTTCAGAAGTTATGTACTAGGATTTGTGGTTGGAACAAGCATATTTGAAAAATAAAAATTTAATTAGTATTGATTGACTTCTTGTTATTATTTGCAATTTGGATGAACTTCGTTCTATTGTGTGTTTTTTGGAAAAAGGAAGAAATCCTATTCATATAAACATTTGCTATCTGTACAAGGTTTTGTTTTTAATTATTTTCCTTAGTTTTTGATTGTCATCTGTTGCTTTTCAGGTTCTTATTTGTAGATTGATTGATAGGCCTCTACGTCCTACAATGCCTAAGGGCTTCTATCATGAAACTCAAATATTATCTTGGGTATAGTCCTTATAATTTCACTTCTTAAAATTTATTGTTAGTGTCTACTTCTACTGGTCATCCTCCAAAGTTTTATAGTTTACTTTGCTTTATGTGTTGATAGTTCATATTCATTCAATTGGGATTGAAATGTTGTGAAAGAATGTGCTAAAATTAGATGACAAAATATACGGAAATTTTAGCAGCCATTAAACTGATAAGTAAACATTTTCAAGAAAATATTGGATCATTTTTATTCAAATTGACTTAAATTCTTATGATATTTTTAATTAAATTCTCTATAGTTTTAATAAGTATCACGAGCAAGGTTGTTAAATTGAAATCCTACATAGGATTAGAAAAAGTAGGGAAAAACGCATAAGTCATGGAATCAGAACATAAATCATGACATGCTACCTATAGTACAACATTATATTTAAACACACACGAGCTTGTGACTTATGAGTTGCGTCCACCTACTAGTCAATTTTCAATTTAATTCTAATTATATATTAGTTGTAATTTAAAGGTTAGTTATCATATCTATGTAATTTTATATGCATGCATACATATAAAATTGCATAGATAAGAAAATTAGTCTTTAAAATTGCCTATAAACCCAAAACTAACTTTCTTTATTTGGAGTATCCAAATCCAAATCCAAACCCAAACCCAAACCCAATAGTATTTGAAATTCCATCTGTATGCCCAACCCAATTGTCATCAGAAGGAATATCATCAATTTTACACTCTAGCTTCTCTAGCTCAGGGACAAAGTATGGGGAAATGAGGATTTGTAAATTTATCAAAAGTAGAGAGAGAAAATCTACAGATTTGGACCAAGTTAGATGTAATAAGGATGAAGAAGAAAAAGTTTTTTGGTTTGGGATCAAGACATCAAAAACGAATGAAAGAAATATTTCTATAAACTTTTTAGAAGAGCAAGTGAATGAGCTAAATTTGACATATTATTGTAGGATTCAAGTTGGAGAAGTAAAATAAGCTCTTAAGAGGATGAATAATGGTAAAGCATTTGGGAAACAAGGATTGGAGTGACTCATTAAGCTCTTTAATGAGATCTTGAGATCTGAATATAGATGAATGGAGGAAGAGCGCTTTGGTTTGTATATACAAGAATAAGGGTGATATCCAAAATTGTGCGAACTATAGAGGAATTAAACTCACAAGTTGTACTATGAAGTTGTGGGAAAAGGTGATTGAATATAAATAGGGAGAAAGTTGAGATTGTAGAAAATCAATTTAGTTTTATGTTAAGAAGATCTGCAATAGAAGCTATATATCTTTTACGAAAGATTATGAAAAAATATTGCTAAAAGGAAAAAGACTTACACGAGTTTTATTGACTTAGAAAAGACATATAATTGGGTAGTAAGATAAGTGCTATGGAAGGCTTTAGAAAAGAAAAAGGTTCGTGTAACATGTATTCAGGCTATACAAGACATGTATGAGCGGATAACTACATGTGTGATAACTTCTGGAAGTGTATCTAAGGACTTCCTAACTAGAATATGTTTAGATCAATGTTGTTTAATATTGTTTTAGATAATAAGATGTACTTACAAATGACTATCCCTTGATGCATGCTATTTGCATATGATAAGTATTGGTCGAGGATTAAAAAAATTTGTTAATGTTAAACTCGAGTTATGGAAGGAGACTTTAGAATCTAAAGGTTTTTGCTTGAGTAGAAGTAAGACTGAATACATGCATTGTAGGTTTAACAAAAAGTCAGATGAGGATCATGCATTGAAAGTTAAACTGGGAAATAATATTATACCACAAATTTCCAATTTTAGATACTTGGGATCAATTATATAAAATGATGGAAAAATTAATGAAGATGTTACTCAGAATATAAGCTGAGTGGTTAAAGTGGAGAAAGACATCGAGAGTTATTTGTGACTAAAATGTCTATCAAGCTGAAAGGAAAAATTTACCGTATTGTAATATGATCAACTATTCTATATGGGAGTGAATGATGGACTTTAAAGGAACAACATGAGAAGAAAATAGGAGTTTAAAAATAAGAATATTAAGGTGGATGCGTGAACACATGATAAAGGATAAGATATAAAATGATAGTATACGAGAGAATATTGGAGTAGCACCTATAGTGAAATAGATGACTGAAAATCGTCTAAAGTAGTTTAATTATGTGGAGAGAAGACCTTTGGAGACTCTAGTAAGAAGAGTGGATTGTACAACTCTTAGTTCGGTAAAAAAGGATTGTGTGATCCATATTACCTTAGACGAAGTTATTAAAAGAGACATTTTGATTAACTAAATTTATGAAAATTTGGTTTTTGACCGAACCCAATGACGTTGTGTGATCTATGTAGCCGATCAACTTAGTGAAATAAGACTTTGTTGTTGTGGTTGTATAGCTTCTCTAGCTTGCTTCTTCTTGAATAATTAAAAATTAGCCATCACAAAATCATCCTTCATTGTCTTTGCAGTCGAATGGTTTCTTCTTTACTTGTAGAACCTAAACAAATACCAAAAAATCAAATACATTGTTAATATGTCCCACATTGGTTAGGAATAGAGACAGAATACTCTTTATAAGGGTTAGGGCAGTCCTCCTCCTATGACCTAGCTTTTGGGAGTGAGTTAGCCTAAGTTTTTTAACATGGTATCAAATCCTATTCAGTTTGAATGTTGGACTGTCCACAGATGTCTAGTCTTGTTGGGTCCACCCATGCAGATGTGTGGACCCATGCAGATGTCCAGTCTCAGGCGTGGGGGTGTGTGTTAAGATGTCCCACATTAGTTAGAAATAAAGTCAGAATACTCTTTATAAGGGCTAAGGTAGTCCTCCTTCTATGAGCTAGCTTTTGGGAGTGTGTTACGCTCAAGTTTCTTAACATGGTATCAGATGTCTTGCAAGTTTCATGCACCAGATGTCCAGTCCTGGGTGTGAGGGGGGTGTGTTAATATGTCCCACATTAGTTAGAAATAGAGCCAAAATACTCCTTACAAGGGATAGAGCAGTCCTTCTCCTATGAGCTAGTTTTTCAGAGTGAGTTAGGCCCAAGTTTCTTAACATACATGACAATTGGTAGGTAATTTTAAAAACGAAATACAATGCATATTTCCATATTTTTAAAATTTACCATCTTATAGGCACTCTAGTTATGCTTACACCCAGAGGAAGGAACTTCATGTCAAGTTTAATATATGGATAGCAAATTTTTGGTGTTCATGATGTTCATCTCCATATGAATTCCACCTCTGCTGGATTTTTTATTAACACCAGCCATGGCTACTACACTACCAATAACTTTGATTGACTCCTGAATCTTAAAGTTGAGCAGCAAGCTTAATTATTTCTTCAACACTCATTTCCATACTACATTGCAGGTATAATAGCTTTGCAGTAAAATTTTCTCTTAAGCTTGAACAGAACTTTTTTTTGTCACAAATAATAATCAAGACACTCCTTTTTGTCTAATATTTGTATACAAAATTTATAGATAGATAGTTTGGGAAAACATTGAATATTTTTATGTTTTCTTGTTGGCCTTCAATGTAGATTTTAGGGAATACTATATGTTGCCTGTGGTAATATAGTATTGGCCGCCAATAAATTGGCTGGTGCACTGAATATACAAGTTTCTGTTGAAAATACCGTAGCTGTAACGGTGTAACCTTCCCTGGCAATAAGAGATAAGCAGGACCAATACCCTCTGCTTTGTTGTTTGTCTCTTTACAGCTTAACAATGTTCATTTCACATCTGCTGTACTAAATGATTGATATATTGTGCTTTTCTTTTGTTGCATTAAAATGACTCCTTGTGGAACTTTCACATGCTATTTTCTACCATAAAATTTTGCTTTTAGGTTTTAAGCTATGATGGGTTGCACTCCCCTGATTCTTTGGCTGTCACTGCAGCTGGTATAGCAGTGTAAGTTGATCATTTTACTTTGCTACCACTATAGGGCTTTTAGACCCCATGCACAATGCTATCTGTTTCTATTTAAATATATAAAACCTTACTCTAAAAATTTGTTTACCAAAACATGATAATTTTATAAAAAGCACATAAGAAATACAGGCAGAAAGGTCCAAGGTGAGAGATCTTGTAAAGATGTGAAAATAAAGTACATAAGCATGATGTCACACACATGCTAACACTTAAGTTAGGTCTGAGGTGTTTTAAACATGCGTAATGCTATCAATGCATGCCCATAAGCACTGTGTGCATAACTAATCTTTATTATTTAATTTCCACAGTGCACTTTCAGAAGTGCCCATGTCAAAAGCAGTTGCAGGAGTTCGTGTTGGTCTAGTTGGTGATAAGTATATAGTAAATCCTACAACTGAGGAGATGGAAAACTCAGAGTTGGACCTCTTGCTTGCTGGCACAGATAGTGCAGTATTGATGATAGAGGTAAAACTGTCATTATCCTTTTTTGTGAACAATAACATGTTAGAATTTAGGAATATGCCAATGGTACATGTTCAATAATTGTTCTGTAAATAGTACCAATGTTAATAAAAGCATGATAGTTAAAATCCCAATATAATTGTAAAATCCTACGGTTTCGGAAGCCTTACCAATTTAAATCGTGGCTGAGTAAAATTGTAAAATCCTGATTTAAATCATAAAACCCCTCAAATTATGGAATTTTACGATTTCACTTTGATTCTGAAAATTCTCAATAAGCCTCTTTTGTTGAACCCTAATGTAGTTGACACCTCTTTCATATCTCTTTTTTATCTAACCTCAATTTGCCTCTAGCAGCTTTGAACCTTAATTTCATTGTCAACATTCAACAGTGCTCTCACTGGGTGCAGCCTAGCCTGCAACTAAACCCAGCAGTGTGCTATTGCTCTGAGTTTGAGTCTAGTGCTCCTGTTCTTGCATCTTTTCTATTTTGGTCTATTTTTTACTCATGCTGATGCATGACATTCTTATGGAATATGGATTTTGATTTGTGAATGCTACTTTATTTAAGTGCTTTTACTGATTTTGAAGGTTTCCCCCCCCCCCCCCAAATTTATGCTATTTTACATGCATAATATGAACTTATATGCATGTATATGAATTTTGTAAAATCTTACAATTCGATACTAAATGTTATCTTGTTGAAATTGTTGGAAGCGACTCAGGTTTAAATTTTGTCCCTCTCAATGTTCTCTTTTAACTTGAAACAAAAGTAGCTTGTAAAAAATTAGGATCAATTCTGAATTGCAAAATTAAGCGGCTTCCATGAAAGTCTACTGAGTGATCTTTTGGAGCTGGATTAGTTAGTCTGTTGAACTCCTCCATTGTAGCACTAGCAATTAATATTGGGAAAAAAAGTGTCACGGGAAATGCCAAAATCCTAAAACGACACTCTGTCTCTGGTCTCTCTTTTCAACATGGATCTCTTTGTGCACTCATATTTGCTGGAGATGGCATCATCTCTGGCCATTTTCTGGTGATGGTGAGTGCAGCAAAGGACTGCAGTTTTCTCTTCCCAATAGAACATATTGATAGGACTACATCTTCTCCCATTGTAGCATGCGTGTCGCCCAGGGCATAAGGGGCATGATGACTTGATGTCATCCTCACCTTCCTCTGGCTTATCACCGGCAGTCTACTTAGGGTTCCAAATTCAACGTTGGCAAGTAAACACGAGGGTTGCCACAAATAGTAATCTGAAGAATAAGAGTTGCTTTTTAATTATTTCAGATTGATTGGAATCAATACAAACCAAATAGATGAAACAAAAAAAAATAAAATTGGGACGCTATGTTATGTATTAACAATCTTACCAGTGACCACCCACTGTTGTCTCTTACTGATTTCTGCCTATGTCTTGTTTCCAGCCATAAAAAGCAAAATAACCTTGAAATCACATACTTTAACTAAACTTAAATCCATTACAGACCATAATTAGCAAAATGAGTAATAACGGAAGTTTTTCCTTAAAATATAAATTCATATATCCAACATTAGTACAATCACAGAAAACTATAGAGACCAAACTTGTAGATGCATTGGAGATAGCAGCCACAGAAAACTTGAAAAATGCCGAGAACACAATAGTCTAAACAGAGAAAACAATCACAAACAGAGGAAGTAATGCCACAAAGAGGATGCAGTCGTAGTTGCACAGAGTGCACCAAGCAGCGTTATAGAAAGCTGCAAAGCCAAAGAAAAGCAGAAAATAAAGAAACCCAGATAGCAGCACAAAACAGAGCATCCAGATACAAAGAGCATGGAGCTCTGTGGAAGCCTTTTTAAAACAGACAAGAGTGTGACAGAATGATTTGACATAAGGTTGGAGGCGTTGTCAACGAGAACAAGGTCTATAGACATGAAAATCAAGGAAAAAAATGGAAAACATGCATTTTCAAACTGTATCATGAAATCTGACATAGAAACCCATCTCCATGAAGATTGGATCTAATTGTGGATCTTACAATCAAGCTGTAAAAGATTGCAATCTGCTGCCATCCAACTAGGTTACAATCCTGCAAGCAATTATGATCATAGACGCCAGTGAAGATTGCATGATTATGCCATCTTGATTACCATGTCAGATGCTATGATCAACTATTGACAACTGTGGATTTAACTGAAGATTTACATGTGGAATCAGACATTAATTTTGAAGCAAATTTATTCATGAAAACAAATATAAATGGAGTTATATGTCATAAAGATCAGGTAATGGAAACCCCTAGTTAAAATGTTTGAAATAATGTAATCCTTATTCACAACTTGCAAACCCAGCTATTGAAAAAATTTATCAAGCTTGGCACCTGTAAGCAGAGAGAACAAATTCTAAAATTTTCCTACTCTTATGATTTTCATTGTTTTGAATGCAAAGAACTGTCACCACTTTCAGCTGTGTGAAAGACAGATTGCAGGAATCTGCATTTGTGGGTATACAGAATGATGATAAAATCATATCTTTCCAAAATCTGATATTTGTAAATCTTAATTCTTAAAACTCTTATGGTTGTACTTTCATGATGGTATCTGAACTGGTATAAATTTTTATTGCAGGGTTATAGCAATTTTCTTCCAGAAGAGAAGTTACTTAAAGCCGTAGAAGTTGGTCAGGTTGTTACCTTATGTTACTATGTAGACAAGCTTACCAAATCATTAGTACATTTAATGAATTTTCTTCCCTAAAGCATATGTCCATGTTGTTTAGATTATTGTTGGTTCTGCATCATGTAAGACACATTTACTTATGGCTGCTATACACAAGAGCATAGAAAGCAAGGAGTCACCACAGAAGATTGTGATCTCTAGAATTATCCTTCATCCTTAACCTTTTGCAAATGTAAAAATCTTGTTATTTCAGGACATCTCTGAAAACAACCATTTTCTGGGGACATATAACTATTTTTTTAAGATCTTCAATTCATTTTCTCTATGACTGTTATGCCATTGAGCATTTGAAATATTCACTAAAAGTGGTGATATGGTACAAGAGTAAGCCATTTGTCTCCGTAATGGATTTTGTTTTAATTATAGTGTGATTAACATGCTCTACTTTGTAGACTTTCTCATTTTTGTGTCCTTTTTTTATATAATTTATGAACTGCTGTATACACATTTACCAATGCTTCGTCTTTTGCTTGTTGTTTACTGGTCAGGATGCAGTGCGAGCAATCTGTAATGAAGTAGAGACTTTGGTTAAGAAGTGTGGGAAACCGAAGATGTTGGATGCCATCATGTTGCCTCCTCCTGAGCTTTATAAACATGTTGAAGTATGATCTTTGCTATTCTTTATCACTTTCTGCTATTTCTTTTATCTAAAACTTCTGAATTATTCCTGATTTGTGAAATCTGTCTAGGGAGATATTATTCACTCCTCAACATTTCCTATATTACTTGCCAGTTGCTCAATAATTTGTATATTACAACAGTTCCTTATTTGTTTGGATAATGATTAATGCTATTGACTTCATCACGGACTTGACTGAGAAAACCCAGCTGAACAGCTCAAAACAGGGCCAATCAACCAGCATAACATATCATTCAGGTAGTAACAGCAGCCATTTGGGGAAGAAATAGTGAAACAATTGAAAGCAATTCATAAAGAGGCAAACAGCAAGAATGTGTTTGCTGAAAGTATAGGGCTGAGTTTAGGTAAGGTAGGAGGAAAGGTACAGAACAGAGACCCCTCTCTGATGTGAACGGAGCAAAGGTCAAAGGACATGAAAATATAGACTATAGAAACAACAGAACAGTGTGCCTCTGCACCAGAGTATTGTAGGTTGTTGTTAAGCTGGAAACTCTGCTGGTGCTCAACTGCTTCATGTTTATGGGTTGTGGCCAATGAGCTCAGTCACAGCCATTATAGTGGAAAAATTTGGCTGTCACGGCCATTATGATGAACAGGGGCTAAACCCTCATTTTCCTTTTGATTTGAATTTTCAAATCATTTTCCGGTGATAGTCTCAAGATCTTGCTATAATGTTTTTGTGGCTGTGCTCCATGCTGCTTTTCTGGCTTGATTACTATGCCTTGAATTAGCTTGGGTCCTCCACCTGGGTTATATCTGCCATTGAAACTTGAGCTGATATACTGGAAGAGTTTGGAAGCATACAGCATCTCATCTACATCACTGGATGCATTTATGGTTTTTATGATGTTGTGGGGGTCATGTGTCCACACTCTGCATTTCACTTCTGTCCCTGTTCTTCCAAAATCTCTTAGCACCCTGTGATGTTTTTCATTTGGTGTGGTGTTGCATGCAACTGTGTGAGAGGAATATGTATTAACTTGATTACATATTTTGTTAGACAAGATGATTGAAGAGTGAATACTTTATTAGATAGTTTTCTTGAATATGGTGGTTATATTAGAAACTGAAGGGACTGGGAACGTGCAGGAAAATACTGGTGATGATTGGTAAAACTACTTCAAATTAGAAATTTTTGGAACATCTATGAAGTTACATTTTTTGTTTCTCTGTTGCTATTGATTGTTTGTTGCATGCACGAGTGTATGAGAGAAATATGCATTAACTTGATTAAATATTTTGTTGAACAAGATGATCAAAGACTTTATGTAAGAGTTTTGTTGATTATGCTGCTTAGAATATAAACTGAAGTGAGTGGGAATGTGCAGGAAATTGCTGGTGATGAGTTGGTGAAGGTTCTTCAAATTAGAAACAAAATACCAAGAAGGAAAGCCCTTTCATCATTAGAAGACAAGGTTCTGAAGATACTTACAGAAAACGGGTTTGTTACAAATGATTCAACACTGAGGAGTAATTCTGAAACCATTGCGGAGATTCTTGAGGAGGAGGATGAAGATGAGGAAGTAATTGTTGATGGGGAAGTTGACGAAGGTGATGTTCATATAAAGCCAACACCACGCAAACCAGCCCCTTTAGTAAGTACTATACTTGTAGTTTCAAGGGGTTTCTTTTTCGTATGGATTATATAGAGATACATATATGGGAATTGTAGGTTCAGTGCTCTCTGTTCATGGTTATTTTGTATGGGTGTTTCCAGGTGAGACATGCAAGCAGATTGGGTTGCTCAAATGAGCCGATTTTATCCCCTTCCTTTTGTTTATGTAGTTTCTGTGTAGCCATAGGAGGATTGCTAATCCTCTTGTTTTTCTCACTTTTCTTTCTTAATAAATTCATTTGTAAAAAGAGGTGTAGTCTGGTGATAAATCTGTTAGAACTGCTACAACAGTTGTTTTTGTTGCTTCATCTCTACTTGTGTGCATAAAGCTTTTCAACATATCTGTCAATAAAAGGAATTGAAAAATACACATAAGGAGGTTTGCAAGTAGGAGGTTATTTCAGAATTCAGAATACCTTCGTGTTGGGGGCAAGGTAGTCAAAATCGCGTTTTGGATCGTAGAATCGTACGATTCTACGATCTCCATCCATGTCTTTGAGCTGAATCGGTGCTGGGAACACGAAATGGTGGAATCGGTGGGATCGTTCTTGCTGGGTCGCAAACTCATTGAAGACGTACGATTTCGACGCGCAGAGATAAAGGCTTTTTGGGCCAACGACCTGCGACCCCAGCCCAACCTCATTAAAGCTTTTGGAATCCTAAAATCCCATAACCCGCACTGCGACTTCTCCTTTCTTCTTCACTCTATTCTGTGAGATTGGGCGTCACTATTGAGCGACTTCTCTGCGAGGCTTTGGCGACTGCGATTTGGTTTCGACGACTGCGATTCGACTCCGGCGACTGGGCTTAGCTCCGACGACTGGATTTTTTCTGTGATTTGGTTTGGGCTTTTTTGCTTTTTGTGCTCTGTTTTTTTCTTCATCTTCATCATCTTGGCTGCTGCGTGTAATTGCAATTTTCTTCATTTTTTGCTTCTGTGCTCTGCTTTCTGTTTTATGTGCTATTGCTGTCTACGACAAAATGACTTCAACTAGTAGTCAAGCTCCTCCCTCCAAGTCATTACCAAAGAATGCACCGGGAAACAAAAGTGATGTAGCATGGCAACATGGGATTGCAATTGAAGGTACAAGAAAAATTCAATGCAAATATTGTCAAAAAATTGTAAGTGGAGGTGCTTATCGATTGAAGCATCACTTGGCTCAAACAGCCAAAGATGTTGGAGCATGCAAATCTGTTCCGGATGAGGTCAAAAATCAAATGTGGAATTTACTTGTAACCATTCAAGAAAATTTGAATAAAAAATAAAATTCTTTTGCTGAGAGAGAAACTTTATATACAAGTGATGGAAGCAAAAGAAAATCAAGTGAGAATGAGATGACTGGAGGAGGAAATATTTTTCGGAAAAGGACCACCCAAGCAACAATCAACAACATATTCAACAAAACTAGAAGAGAGGAGGCTTGTCAAGCTATTAGAAGGTTTTTTTATAATAATGCCATATCATTCAATGTAGCAAGAAGTGATGAATTTTTTGTTATGTGTGATTTAATTGCCAGCCATGGTCCTGGATTTAAACCATCAAGCTATCATGAAATTAGAGTAAAATATTTGAAGAAGGAAATATAGTTAACAAAGGAGAGATTAGAAGAACATAGAGCTGAATGGAATACTGTTAGATGCACATTAATGACTGATGGGTGGACTGATAAGAGGAGAAGAACAATATTGAACTTCTTGGTAAATAGTCCTAAAGGAGCTATTTTTTTCAAGTCTATTGATGAATCTCATATAGAAAAAACAGCTGATAAAATATTTAAAATGATTGATGATGTTGTTGAAGAAATTGGTGAGAAAAATGTAGTCCAAGTTGTGACTGATAATGCAGCAAATTATAAAGCTGCAGGGAAGATGTTGATGCAAAAAAAGAAACACTTGTATTGGACCCCTTGTGCAGCACATTGCATTGATTTGATGTTGGAGGACTTTAAAAAGAAGATACAGATTCATGAAGAGACAATTCTAAAAGGTAGAAAAATTACAACCTACATTTATTCAAGGACAGGTCTTATTTCTCTATTGAAACATTTTACCAAAGGCAAAGATTTGATAAGGCCAGGAATCACTTGTTTTGCTACATCTTATTTGACTCTAGGATGCCTTCAACAAAATAGAGCTGCTTTGATAAGAATGTTCACATCTAATGAATGGAAGTTCTCTAAGTTTGCTAAGACAAAGGATGGGAGAGTTATAGAAGAATTGATTTTGGATAGAGAGTTTTGGAAGAATATAATCACTTGTTTGAAGGCCGCATTTCCTCTTATCAAAGTTCTTCGAATGGTTGATTCAGATGAGGAAACTATGGGCTTTATATTTGAGGCAATGGATCAAGCTAAAGAGAATATTCAAATTGCTTTCAATTGTGTTAAGAAAAGGTAACTAACTATACCTACTAATCTATCAAATTAAATTAGTCTCCATTTTGTGATCTATGTTGTATTGTATATTTTGAATCTTTGTTGTTTGCTCTTTATCAGTTACGTACCTATATGAAATATTATAGATGAAAGATGGGATAAACAGCTCCATAGGCCTTTGCATGTTGCAGGCTATTTTCTTAATCCTAGGATGCACTATAGTCTTAAATTTAAGGCTGATCTTGAAGTTAAGCGTGGACTATATAATTGTTTGACAAGAATGGTGCTTGATCAAGATGAACAATGTAAAATTGATTGTCAACTTGATTCATTTACAAAGCGAGTTGGTAATTTTGGGAGTCACTTGGCTAGAAAAACTATTGATATGCGTCTGCCAACTGATTGGTGGATGTCTCATGGAGATGAGTATCTTAAGCTTCAAAGATTTACTATTCGAATACTAAGCTTGACATACAGTTCTTCTGGATGTGAACATAATTGGAGTGCCTTTGAGATGGTAAGTAGAAATTCTTTTTTCGAATATTATGTACTAGGCTAGCCAACTATTTTTTTGTATCTTAAATTATAATTTAATATATTATTATTTGATAGGTGCATATTAAAAGAAGAAACCATTTGAAGTAAAATACAATGAATGATGTGGTATTTGTTATGGCAAATTCAAAATTGGCCAAGAAGAAGACAGTTAGGAGAGTAAAGGATCTTCACATAAATGTAGATGATATTTCATCTGATAATGAGTAGATAGTGGAAAATAATGATAGAGGAAATCATGAAGATTTGGGCCTAGAAGACAATTTGGGAGATGAGGACATTGAGGTTTATACTCTTACTGAAGATGAGGACTTAGATTTAGATCAAGGTTCAAATCAAGATGTTGGTGTTTGGTGATGTTCCTAATATAGACAATTTAGATGATGAAGGAGATGATGGACCAAATGAAGAAGTTGGGCCAAATGAAGATGATAAAGGATATGATGAATTTTTTTGATAATCAAAATATTTTAGATATGATAAAATAGATATTTAAAGTTTGGATATTGATTTTGTATTTGGTTTAGAACTTTGGAATATGCTTATGTTGGATATGTTCTTAATATTCATCTTTTAAAGTACTGTGGTTTGAATTAATGTTTTTATTTTCTTCTTATTTATATACTATTTTATATGTATATCTACAATTTTGTAAGATCTTACGTTCTGTGTTACGATCCTTGACCTCTTCTCCGATTCTACGTAAAATTTCGATTTTGACTACCATGGTTGGGGGTGGCTAAAGTAGGAGCCCATGGATCAGGCTTAGGGTACATTTCCAGTGCTGGAGAATGCATACAACTATTTTACAGTGTTTCTTCAGAGGACAAGAGAGAGAGAGAGAAACCAGCAACCGTTATTCATGCTGTAACTAATTTCTGGTCTGGTGATAGTAGCATATTGGGAAGCACCAGCAACAGACCATTCTAGTGTGTGCTGCTGAGAAAGTAAGAGAAAGAGATAGAAAGAGAACGAAATAACAGAGATAGCAAGGGAGTAATCTAATGAGAAAATGATATTCTAACATATTTGAACCTTGTGATGGTACATACAGTTTGCACTAGGAGCAGTTATCTCTAAGTTTAACAGTCTGTTTCAGACTACCTAACTAACAGTATTGTAACAGAGTGCTGACCCTTTAACACACTTCCTTTATGTGAAGTATTCAACTATTGTAACATACTCAAGTGGGATTAGGTCATTTCTCTTTGAAGGTTTCTTGATCTTGGTATCAAATCCCAACCCGGAAGTTTTGGGATCATGCTGCAGCAGCTGTCTCAGGGAAAACTGTGAATCTGTGAAAGAAAAAAATTGTGTTGTTTTAGGAGAACTTCATGATCCAAGAAAGTATAGTTGAATTTACAAATGAAATTGTTGAAGAATTGTTTTGCTAGTTTTTTTTTTTTTTCAGAAGCACTCAACTTGGCTTGCATTGCATTGAAAGCATCTCCCAACTGGATGCATGGGGATGTCCTTTCCACAGTATCAGCAATGCTAGCTTGAAACATGTCCAACAATCTATCAAATTATCTTTGTTTATTCCCACCCGACCCAAGAACTGCGGCAAAATAAGGATGTTACTCAAGTTTTCTTTTCCCTTGTTTTGTGTATATAGTATCCTCCTGCTGGTCAAATTTTTTGCTGGCAATGGACATTATGTTCTTTCTAATTTATTTTCCTGTATTTGAGCGATTTATAGTTTCTTACTTTGTTTTGGAATTGTTGATTGATGTCGAAATGATGCCCTGCCTTGTTGTATGCCTGTTGTTTTGAATTCATTTGATTTATCTTCTTAACATATATCTATTTTTTTTCACTCTGTACAGTTTTTAGAGGTAGATGTGAAGTTGGTATTTAAAGAAGTTACGTCCAAGTTTTTGAGGAAGCGCATAGTAGAGGTATGAAAACTAAATAATTAAGATTACTATCCAAACATAAAAATTTAAGCTTGATTTGTTACTATCTTGGTGGGACACTGGGACTTCAGTCAAATGGTCTACATGACTCAATTTCTGTTTCCTTCATAATGGAATAGCTCTTTTACTATAATTGAAACTTGAAAGTTTTTGTTATGAGCCATAGAACATCTGATAGTTGAGGCAAACACATCTATGTTAGTCTTTGTGGAAGAACAAATGACAGAATATTCCATTATAAGTCTTCTAGGACTGACTGTTCTCAACTGTTGAAATTGAAACTCCTAATATCATTCCATTCCATGCTATCTAAATGGATTAATCATTTCATATGTGTGATGGGTTGGAAATGCCTAACTATTTAACATGACCTTGCTATTGCAAACACAAGAAGTCCATTTAATATTAAGTTATATATGGTCTTCACATTAAACAGTTGGAAGTTGTGGATTGAATTGGAGACATGGTGTTAGACTGAAACAATCCTTGCCAGCCCTGTTCTTCAAGCCCAAATATGAGGTGGCATGTTTGATGTAATATCAAGCTTTTAATTTAAGTTTGTCCTAATAAAGAAAAGCATAGGCTTGCACTTGAGCATGTTGTTGATTATTGGTTCATTTATCCCTTTAGATAATATTTTTATTTTTAATTGCTTGATTTTGTGGAGCTTTACAACAGTACTTATGATAGAAATCTGGTGTTTCTTCTAATTATCCTTGCTTGACTAACTAATTCAGGCTAACTAATTTATATATTGTAAGTAACTAGTAAAGGGTAACTAACATATTTAAACTATTTACTTAAGGGAGGTTACCTAACAGCTTATTGCATATGCTGATTACCCATCTTTTTATTATATTATCCTTTTTCTTCATTTTGGTTGAACGGACCTCTTTTCTTTCTTTGATTTTAATTGTGGGCCAACATTTCTCATGCTGAACATGATGGTAACATAGGGTGCAGGTTAATGAAGTTATTCCTCTTTCCGTCTCTCCTTTATCCCTTTATTCAATCAATTAGGGTTCACTTAGCATAATCTCTCTCTCATTCTTGTCTTCGACTTTGATATGGAATAAGTGTTTACATCAGTATCATATTGTACCTCTAAATGTGATATAGAGCACAGTCTGAGACTCTGAGCAACAGAGATGTTCAGTTACAATTTTTTGTTGTTCATCACTTCCAATTTATACCAGTAGAAGATAATGTGACTGCATTGTTTGTTTCAATGTCAACTATTGGTAGATAAGTATACCCATCGAAAAGTAATAAAGAGTTTTAAAAAAACAATTTGATTTAATTGTTTAAACTAAAAGGACGTGTAGTGAATTAAAAACAAGAATAATTTAAATTTAAAAAACAATTAAAAAGACAATAATGCAATTCTTGATAGAAATTGGACAAGATGAGCCTAAGATATAAGGTTTCACCTATTACACTTTTTTATGTTTTATTTAATCTAATTCCAATATCAATTTTCCTATGTTTGCCTTTGCCAACCACCCATATTTATTTTATTATTACTCAATGATCATGCAAGGCAAAAAGTAGAAAAAACATAAAGACTATATGGGTTTGTTAATTCAATAATAGTTGGAAAAGAATAATTAAGTTTGATCTACTTAATCCTTTGTCTCATTTTATTCTATAGTTCCATTAATTACATGTAGTACAACTGTCTATAATGCAACTAATTATAAGATGCTAAGGTTGATCAATTCTTAACATGTAAAATATAATTTAATAGGATAAAGTCAAACATTAAAAAGAGACCAACATTGTTCTTAAATATAAAAATCTAGAGTATGCAATAAGATTCACTATAGCTCTATCTATGAATTTAGTTACTTATAGTAAAGCAAACAATAAAAATCATTATAAATAAATCCATAAAAACTCAAAAGGAGAATTCAAATTGAAGGAACTTAAATAGAAAAAAGATAAAGGAAGTTCTCGTTCTCCAATAAGCCCTCAATTACTTGCTTGGATTCTGAAGAAATGTTCGCCATTTTTGCCATTAATCTCTTATTCTCCAATAACTTTCTATGGTTGATTAAGTCAGGATTTAGAATGTGTCTTTCTCTAGAGCACAAGGCTTCTTTATATATGGTGTGACATGAGATATAAGATTATGACCTAATTTCCAAGACATAAGCTCAATCTTTAAGAAAGGAAATTTGTTTTGCCAACCTTTAGAATCTCAGCTTAAAACCAATTTAAACCTTTAGATCAAAATCTAATATTCAAATTCCTGATTTAAAAATTAAATTTAGAATTTGAACTCAAATTCAACTAGCACAACCGTGCATAGCCCCCATCACAGCTGTGCTCGAAGTTTCGAAGCACGCCAAGATTAGATTGCGAAGCAAGGCCATGCTTGCTCATGGACGAAGTTCTAATTTCAGCTAAAATTATTCAATTTTTGTTCAAAATATTTCCATAATGCTCTGATAACTGTTTCAGACTCAACTGCAATAATTAATAATATAATTATTGTGAAACACCCATAAAATAAGCTTTAAATGTATAAATATAAATCATAAAACATATGAATATAGACTTATCATCAACATATCTATTCGGAGGATTGAACTCCTCTAAAGTGGGGGAATGTGTAAAGTGAGAAAGTGAGGTTTGATTCACCTATGATTTGAATTTATTCAGCAATTGAGTCTAACACACTCAAAAGTTAGCCAAAAGGAGGGGTATTATCCAAGCTTTATAAATAGTATTTTGGCATTTTAACACACACCCTTCACTTCAGGACTGGATATCTAGTGTGTGAAGTTTTTAGGAATGAAAATCTGTAGATAGCCCAAAATTCAAACTAGATAGGCTTTGATATCATATTAGAAAACTTGGCCTAACTCACTCCCAAAAGCTAGTGCAAAAAAGGAGGATTACACAAGCCTTATGAGGAGTATTTTGACATCTTAATAGAGTTGAAGGATTTTATATATATATAACTAATTTGAAATCAATGATGAATATACAACCCTCACTTTCTGAGAACTTTACATATTCTCTCACTTTATACGAGCCAAATCTCCATTTGGATGCTAAATTTGCAGATAAACCTACCCATAGTGACTGTAAGGGGATGAGCTAATAAAACTGTTTTATTTATATGGTACTACTGCCTTAAGACTTGTTTATTATAGAGGTTATTTAATGAGTATATAGTTATTCCTGAAATTTCTAAATCACACAGTATTTTAAGCAATTATCTTGGCCATGCCTATAATTTAAAGTTCTTATCAAGCATTATAAACAATTCATGTATCTCCTAATAGCTTAATCTTTGGGTTGAGTTTATCCTTGACAGAAAGATGTAACTATTTTTGTAAGTCTGGTAAATGTAGTTGTGGCAATGATGTTGCAGTGGTTAGAAGCTTGTCTGCACGAACACATTACTGAACTGAATGGATCCATGTTTATTGATTTATTTTCTTTGTATGTGACAGGGTGGGAAAAGGAGTGATGGGCGAACACCAGAAGGAATACGCCCAATCAACTCTAGATGTGGCCTATTACCTAGGGCTCATGGAAGTACTCTCTTTACAAGAGGCGAGACGCAGGTGTGTGATATTTATTTTGTTTTTCTGTTTATGCTTTTGATGATATGTGTTAATGTCTATATATGCTTCTGCGGTCACATTGCCCCTTCTCATTTTTTGATAGTTTTGTTAAAGGGATACAGAATGAACAAATTACGAGGATAAAAACTAATGATAATAGACTCTTTGGACCTTTAACGCTCTTTATGTTTAAAGCCTCCAATTTTGTTGTCCACCTTAACCAACTGATATATAATATAAATTTGCAATTGGAACTGTGTTGAATACTCAGGTTTTCACAGGCTTGCTGACAATGCAATAGTATATTATCTGTTGACATGTGTAAATTTTTGCATGGAGCACTACTATATCTGATAATATTTGATACTCTTTTTGGGATACATGCATGAATTTGTACTTGTGTTTCTGAGGTATTCCATGTTAAAACTGCTACTTCATTGCTGTCCCCAAAAAGTAGGCCACCCTAGGAAGAAAAACATTGCTTCTTCAAATTGCTCTTCAAGGGTGCTAGACACTCCAATTGTGATTTTGATGTTTTAAGAAGCTACTACTATCTACTAGTACTAGTAGAAACGTGTAACTTGTAACTTGACCCCAAACCATAACAATATGTTTCTTTATTAACAATTTGGGTCTGGTCACAAGTCGTCTATCTTTGCCCCATTTTGGCTATTTGGGGTGATATGAACATCTCATGATTGCTAAACACCATCAATAGTTTTCTATTTTATTCAGAGTTAGACTTTCAGTACTTCTCTAGCAATATTTATATCTGCATCTTAACTTGAGTGATAAATTGGCTTTGTCTGGTTGGTAGTCCCTAGCAGTTGTTACCCTTGGAGATAAACAAATGGCGCAAAGAATAGACAATCTTGACGGTGTTGATGAATTCAAGAGGTTCTATCTGCAGGTCTCCTCAAAACTTGACTGCTTTTATCTTCTCTTATATTTGTGTGAATGTCATCTACTCAGAGAAATTTGAGCAATGTTTGGAAACCCAACTGGACTGGTTGGTTTGACTTGTTAACCAGTTGTATGTGAAGTTCAGTGCATGATTAGAACTGTAAAGCCCAAAGCAAAGATAGAAAACACACTGAATTGACATTCGGATGGTCCAACCAGTCCTCAGTTGATGACATGGCACTGGTTGTATCAATTATCAAAGGCTCCACACCGCCTTCAAAATAAATGTCTAGGGGAGCCAGGAGAAATTAATTTGTATATGTGGGTCCCTAAATTATTTGGGTACTTTTAAATAAGTCTATAGTTTAAAAATTTATAATTACGTCCCTGAACTTTGAAATCATTTTGTTAATTGATGACTTGAAATGTAGAGCTATATTTAGCTTTTGATTATTTGGCGTAAAGTTCAATTTCTCTTATAATTTCTTTAGCTGCATATAATTTGGAAGGTGAGTGATACGCCGCAAGTGCACAGGTTTTGTCAAGTAATAAAAATATATTGTCTCCATAGGATAAAAAAAAAATCAAAGAAGATTAAAGAATACAATTAATTTAAATTGGATGAATTCAAATTTAAGACTTTTAAGAATTAGTTTCACCTCAAATTTGAATTGACAACCTTAAAGGGTGAATTACCCTTAGGTGATTTTTTTTTTCATAATACAATAATTAATTATACTAACTTTTCATGGTGATTATATTTTATTAAATTCTTTAAGTTTTATGGTGATTTAGTGATTCTTCGAGAAACCTAACTAACATTAATAGTCTAGAATTTCAATTTTAATTTTTGAATTTTTAATGGCAAGGTTCACTTTTTCTTCTTCCTTTAACATTCTTAATGACTTGCTAATGGTGTGGAGCCCTTTGAGTTTTATAATTGCTCTTGGCCGATTTAATTTCACTGAGGAACTTCTAAAACTAGCCCAGGTAAACATGGCCATTAACAAATAGATTTGCGCTTTATAAATGCTTCAATGATCTTTGTGTCTTCCATGGACCTTTAAATCTATATATTTTAGCTACCAAAATGCACTCACCTACACACTAAATACATGAAAGCAGTGACTTCAACCAAAACAAATAAAAAAAGCATGATGAACACAACCTAAAATGCATAATTATCAATGATTTAAATGTTAATTTGAACTATAAACTTATGCATGATTCAAGTATTGAATATATAGTAGTTGTAGTTGCAGATACATAAGTCTTAAGCTGAATCACATTTGATGTTTATATTTTCACTTTATTTGCACAAATTATTATAACACATTTTTAACTAGGTCCCTGACCACATTTCTGTTAGGGTTCTTTTAAGTATAAAAACCCGATTAAAAACTTTCAAATAATTCAGGGGCTTAGTAAACAATTAAACTAATGACTTGGTTCTTGAATTATTTGAAAATTTTTCATTGGGTTCCTTTACTTAATGGAACCCTAATGAAAATCTGGTTGGGGACCTCATTAAAACTAATTTAAAATTTAGAGATTTAATTACAAACTTTTAAAGTATAGGAACTTTTAATTACAATTTATATTAGTTTTTACTTTTTCCTTAAAATTTTCAGGATGCAAATTATTATGACTGACTGAAACAACATTTGCAGTATTCATTTCCTCCTTCATGTGTTGGGGAAGTTGGCCGGATTGGTGCCCCAAGTAGAAGAGAAATTGGTCATGGGATGCTCGCTGAGAGATCCCTTGAACCAATTTTACCTTCCGAAGATGATTTCCCTTACACCATACGTGTTGAGAGTACTATCACAGAAAGTAATGGCTCTTCAAGGTGAGTTTTATTTACTTTTTTCATTTTATGTTACTAAAGTTACATTCTTTAATTGTTTGTCATCATTATTCTCAAAGAAAAAGTGAAGATTGAATGAAATTGTTAGGCTACCCACATGTTCTGGTATTTGTAGATGTTGAATTTGGGCTTTAAGCCTAACTCAACCCCAAAAGCTAGCTCGTAAGGTGAGGATTGCTTTAGCCTTTATAAGCTCTTATTTAATCATATCTATAGTCGACGTGGGACATTAACAGTAGATTAATATACAGTTAGAGTGGTAAAAGGATTAATTGTGCTAATCACAAACTAATATCTAGCCTAATAATTACTGAGTGTGCTAAGCTAGTCAAGGTAAATATAGTTGACCATATATTTACAGATGTACTAAATCTAATACTTCTCTTGCTGGTGCATACATATCGCACACATAAGGTTTATGACAAAAAAGTGAGCCTGAGGTCTGTTACAAGGAAATTAGTTAATATATTGGCTGGCTGATGAGTTAACAAAGCAAATAGTAATATCTCCTAAGAGGGCCCGTTCTCTAACAAGATGGTAACAATGTAAAACAGGGTTGGAACTTGGAAGAAAAATGTAGGACAGCTTGGTTGTTATACATTAGCTTCATTGGTCCGGCTTCATCCCAATTTCATTGCTGAAGACTTAAATGGTTGCTTTTACTATGTTAGTTTGCATACTGCTGTTGCCCTAGCTTGATGTTCAGCCTCTGCATGCATCCAGCAACTTCTTTATGCTTTTTAATTATTAGAAACAGATCACTCACTCACTCTAGAAAGGTAACTAAATGAGGAGTACTTTGGGTGTATATTCCTAGTCAATGAGGACATCTAAGCACACCCCTCATGCCAAGACTAGACATCTTGAGCTTGATGTTAGTAGGATTGGACATCAGCAGGTGGTCCAACATGAAGACTGAACAGACTTTAATGCCACGTTGAAAATGTAGTGGTGGGCTTAACCCACTTTCAAAAGCTAGCTTAGGAGAGGACGATTATCTAAGTCATCATTTTAAATTATATGAAATTAAGTTACCTCCAGCAAACACAAAATAGCCTTTGATTGAACACTGGTATGATGGGGATCCTGCCTAATGAAAAACTAACCAAGCCAATATAAAAGGTTTAGGAAGATGGGACAACTATATTTGCATGTAGATTTCAATCTTAATAAAAACATTGGAAGATGGGACAAAATTTTAAATAACTTTTCAATAGAATGAGAAAAATCATTGTCAATAGAATTAATGAAATTTTGAACAGCCAAAGCGATGGTGACACTGTAAATATCTAAATGGACTGAAACAAAAGGAGACATAACTTATTTATTGATTTGATTTTGACAGAAACTATGGATATATTTGACACTCCATTATTGATATTTTAAAAAGGCTTGGTGCCAAGGTTGTCAAACTTGAGAGTTAGTGGAGCCTCCATGGACTACTTTTAAACTTGCAAGAGTTTACCTAAGACAATAATTTTTTAGAACATTTATATTGTAACCAAACAGAATTGAATACTCTATTCATAAAAAAATATTTAACCTCAAACTTCATACTAAAGCAAACCACAATAACAAAGTTTTAGACAATTTGTAAGCAAGCAATAAACCAGCCAAGATGCGTTCAACACATAAATCACAAATAGGATTGTAGTGAAGTGCACAAACAAAGCATAAAGTTTGCAATTGATCGACAAATTCACAAATAACGAGGTTCGAAATTATTAAAGCTTGGAAGTAGTGGTGTACATTTGGTTCACCTTGTTGGAGCTGGGTTCAGCTTGTCCAAACTGAGTTTGTTCCCCTTGTCAATCTGCTGGGTTCATTGTAGTTTGTAGGAATGGTTCTGTTCAAACCTGCTGGTGTGTGACTTCATTTATGCTTGGAGCTGTGCGGTTGAGAGTTGTTGCAGTTTTATTCACCACCTTCATTGCAACTGGGTCCACACTAGGATTTTGGATGCCACTGTGGAGTCCAGGTCATGCAGCTGTGAGGATTAAGTTTTGTGTATGATGAGTCCTATCATTCAGCTTCTCCATTTCAATCATTGAGGGTTTTTCTTTTTAACAGTTGAACACTGTTGTGTACGATGCATTTTATTGCTGATCACCATTCTGTTTTAGACCCTTTCAATTGTTCTCAAACTCACAATTCTGTTTTTGTCAATACGAGTCCACCCATTTACACTAAAATGAGTTTTAGAGTGAAGTGCATGTTAAATATGTCTTGAATGAAAGAAATGCTTGCTGGGAAGAATTTGAACCTTCTCCCAAAACCTGATAAAATATTATCATTCTAACTAAAGAATCGTGTTGGCTAAAAGAATATATCCAGGCTAAATGAGAATTCAGTGTCTCTCATGAATTACTTTGATTGTTCTGAGGTATTCCTCCAATTTTGAGCAAAACTCTGAAACTTCTTTGCTTCCAAATGTATAAGGAGCAGAAGACTTTCTGAAGCTATGCGCTTTTTCCTTTTGTTTAGCATTTATGTATAAATTGCAAATTTAAAGCTCATGGCTTTTTTGAAGGTGATGTAATGTTTTAGGAGGATGTCATATTACCACACTTCAGACTCTCTGTTTATAGTTATGCACATGATACAATTGTTATTCTTTTTTTTTCTTACAGAGCTTTAAAACCTTCCACATTTAACATCAAAATTTTCATTTTTTTAGCATGGCTTCTGTTTGTGGTGGCTGCTTAGCATTACAAGATGCTGGGGTTCCTATTAAGTGCCCAATTGCTGGAATTGCGATGGGTATGGTACTGGACACCAAGGAATTTGGTGGAGATGGAACTCCGCTCATTCTGTCTGACATAACTGGATCAGAAGATGCATCTGGAGATATGGATTTTAAGGTTTAAATTTACATAGTTTAAGTTGTATTTATTTGTTCACATTTTCATTTGGATGAATAAGTAATAAGGGGAGTTTGGTTGGGTTCGTTCTGTATTTTCATTTCAAGTTCATTTATATTTAATCAACATGATATTCATATCATAATGCAAAAAAGATGTTTTGACAATGATAAAATGCAGGTTGCTGGAACTGAAGAAGGCGTAACTGCATTCCAAATGGACATCAAGGTGAAATAGTATGAACATTTAAATGCTATGTTATGTTAATTTCGTTTCTCATTTGCTTGAATTTTGAAAAACTGCTTATTTTATTTGAAGGTGGAGCATTTTTTATTTATTAATTTCTCCTTCTAAATGAGTTATTTTATTTGGTATCAAAGATTTATATGGTACTGTTTTCTAATGGCTATTAATATATCATGTTGCAGGTGGGTGGAATTACTTTGCCCATCATGAGAAAGGCACTCCTACAAGCACGAGATGGCAGGAAGCATATACTTGGTAAAGTTAAAACAAAACTTACTTCATGGGGGTATGACTAACGACGTATGGTGTTGTTAATGTACATTTCATATCTTGAGTCTTTCCTTTCCTTGATTACAGAGTAAAGACTGAATAGTGTTTAACAATTTTTTTAACCTGATCTGACTGTGTTGTGTCAGAACTCAGAAGTGGAACCTGGGTTTGTTTCCTGAATTATGGATAAAATAAAAAAGAATAGTTTGTGTTTTCATTGCTCTATGAGTGGGTGCTAATCCCAGAATCAGTAAAACACATTACACAAAGCAATGGGAATTTCTTTTTTGTTGGTTTATGTTAATCTGCAACATTTCATTTATGTAAATCCTATGCAATTAAGTTCAGTTGATGGATTTCAACTTAGAGGGTGCCATTGACATCTGAATGCATTTAGCATGTTGAAACTTGTACACATATAGAGGATGAGCAATGATTTGGAGTTACGAATTGCTCATTTACAGGAAAATACTCTAGAGAAAGAGGAGTATAAAGTCCAATCTTTCCTTCTTTGCTTGAGAATTCCATTTCCTGGAATTGCCCGTTTTCCACAACATGAGTGATCATGATTTATAAGACTTTTGATATAGTTTCCACGATGACAATTCTTGGTTATTTGTAATCTCTAGGATGCTTATCTTTGAACTTCAGACTCTTCAGGATTGTTCTTCTGTACATCCGCTTTCCACTTCTTATTTCTAACTTTTATCTCTGTTTTTCCTTCCCAGTTCACATGTTCTTTTTGGAAGGTCAATTTTCCCTCTATGGTTCAGGCTTTAATTATGAAAGTAATGCTTAATATGATATTACAGATACTCTATCCATAAGTTTTGAAAAAAGTAGCCTCCTCTTTTTTTGTTGTCAGGTACTTCGACAGTTTTGGTGTAAGCTGTTGGGCTGTTTGGAGTCTGCCAGCTATGTCCACCTAATTTGGACATCTTTTTGTCTAGGTTTTGATGCTAGAAAGAAATAATAAATGTATAATTATGTCCAGTTAATTTCTGTTTCCCTTTTTCCTTTTACTTTTGATGGTGTCATCTTTAGTCCTTAAGGATTTCTTATCCTCTTTCTGTACCTTTCTTTTCCCATCATAGAAAAATATTTTCTTATCAAAACTCTATTTATGGGAAAAAAGGTCCAAGTCTTAATATCTGCTATTATACCTTTTCATTACATCAGTTTTTCTTGATTTAAATTTTGTGCAGTCCTTTATGGCTGGAATGGAACGTAGAATCCTTCACCAACTAAGCTAATTCTTGGATGTGTCACTTTTGTACTAAAATATGAATTATGTGCCTTTTTCTATGCATTCTTAGATCCAATTTGTCAAAGATATTCTTCCATACTTTTCTGTACAAGCTATTAGTCTTCCAAATGAGGTTGAGCCTCAGTAAGGTTATGCACATTTACCCCTTCCCAGTCCCTACTAGGTGGGAGTCTCATGTCAGGTTGCCCTGTGAGTGGGATGAGAATGGGCCAGGCCGCCCATCAAGGGCCTATGGCTTAGCCTATTTAAGGCCTAAGCGGGCTCGGCTAGTTTATTAAAAAAGGTTAGGCTTAAACTTTTGAAAAGGCCTATTTAAATAAAGAGGTCAGACTTAAGCTTTAAAAAAAGCCTTTCAGGCTTATTGGTCTGGCCCAATTAAATAATTATATAATTTTATAATTTATATTTATTTATTTATTTGTAACAATTTAATATAATTATAATTGTCCAGAAAAATTATATATATATATATATATATATATATATATATATATAATATGTAATGTATAACATAGTTTAGTATTTATACTTTAATAATTATAATTATATGCATGCACAACTTGAAGTGATCACGTTGAAACTTTGATATTTTGCTCAATGACTTGGCAATTGTTTGTTGGGTTATACGTTCTAGTTTCATTTTTTGTTTTCTTTTCATAATAAACATCCTAATTGTTAGCTTGGTATTTGAGATTAAATAATATAAACATATTACCTTTTGGATTATTTGAGATATAAAATTTTGTGGAGTTATTGAATATGGTCATTTTGAGATATGATATTTGTGAAACCATTTATGTATGTTTGTTTTTTTTGCTAAACATAGTATTTAAATATAATTACTTATCATATATTTTCTATTTTACTAATAATAGGCCTTTTGGCTTATTAACCCGTTAGTTACTAGTTCAGTGACCTACTTGCCTGATAAATTTAAATTAATATTGTTTTTTGAAGGCCTTATTGTTAAATAGGCTATTGGGCCAGGTCAGACTTATAAAAAGGTTAGGTCAAATCTAAAAATTTTGCCTATGTTAGGTCATAAGCCTAGGCTTAGAATCTAGTTTTATGTAGTAGGTCAGACCCATTTAACTTCCGGCCTAGCTCGACCTAATCCATTCCCATTCCTACATGTGGGTCCTCTAAAGGATGTAATTGTTTCCTAATTTCATTATTGTTGGAAATATGGACTTTAGATATAGTATGTTCATTATCTTGTGATAAAATGCATTTTGGACTCATGGGTATTAGTATATAGGAAGTTGTACTCAATTAAAGTTATCTTAGGAAATAGTGTCCAGTCCACTAAGTCTATTAAGAGCATAAATATCTGATGTCTTGCATAATCTATGTACTCGAGAAGAGTAGGAAAGCTTTTCCATTTGCTAATTTTCTCTAGATTATTTTTTTGCTATATCTCTCTCTTCCTGCCCTTCTAAATTCATCATGGTATCGGAGTAGTTCCATCCACTTTGTGAAAACATCAAAAGAGGTAAGGAGTACCGAATATGGGGGTAATGAGTCAAAAGTTCTTTTGTCAAGAACCTAAACTAAATGGTTTTCTATTCGCGCTAGTCATGCCTATATTTTACTCAAAAGTGTTTCATGTAAGGACCAAAGTATAAGTAGAATATTTCTTCTCTTTTGTTTTACAAAGCAAGGGAGGTGAAAATTTTCAATATTTTCCATTCATCGTCTTTGCAGTTGGGAAATAAATACCACTCTTCATCCTGTTCATGACCTTTCTATTTTCATTCTGCTTATACTTCACTCTTGATAAAATAAACGTGATCTACATGCTATTTTGAGAGCAATATTCGTAGTTCTATAAAATTCAATAATCTGTTCTGTATTTTTGAGTTTTGAAGTTTTACATTAATTATCTTTGATTATTGTTGACAGTTTATGTACCTTTGTCTTTTGTTTCCCTTTCTTTTGTTACCTAATCTAGGAGCGATGATGAATTCCTCGCCCCCTCCAACCAAAAGACTTTCCAAGCATGCTCCTTTGATTCATGTTATGAAGGTCTGTCAGTTAGGTTACTTTCCTCCCTCCCCCAAAAAATTGATTATCTCTCAATCATGCATTGATTATCTGATATTTATATTTTTTGTAGGTCAAACCTGATAGGATAAATCTTATAATTGGTTCTGGTGGGAAAAAAGTGAAGAGCATTATTGAGGAATGTGGTGTAGAAGCCATCGATACAGAAGATAATGGCACTGTATGAGAACAAGCTTATCTACATCTTTTTATATTATTATTACAGCTAGTCTTCAATTTATAGACAATGTATGACTCTTCTGTGGCTTTTGCAGGTGAAAATATTTGCAAAAGATTTGTCTAGTTTAGAGAGGTCTAAAGCTATTATTAGTAATTTGACGATGGTTCCAACAATTGGTGATATATATAGGTATTTTATCCCTTTCTTTTCTGCTTATATTGGTTTGTTGCTTGCACCAAGTTTTATTCCACTTGATGATGTTAGCTACATAATCACATAACACTATGAACTCAGTAAAAAACTAAATTATCTGAGATATTATTTATCACTAAATCTTTGTTAAAATTTCATTTGAGTCCCCATCTATTCTTTTTTATTGGACTAAAAGTCTCAAATTTAGGAAAGTAATATCATTGCTATTTTATGAGATACATCAGATTTATTTATATACATGAGCCTGCTGACTATTTTGAGAAATAGGGACAGCTTATTCTAGAGGACAAATCCCTGTGATTATGGGGTTGTTTCTAAATATACTAGCATAGTATTAATACCAGGATATAGTAAAGATAAAGAATAAAAATACAGCAAGGCTAATATAAAACTTCCTGAAATACATAAGGAGCAACATGGTTTTGACAAAAAAGTTATGTCATTCACTCTTCTCATCAACACCTTTAACTGCCTTTCTTTGCACATATCCAAATTATCTTAAACGATTTTCTCATTTTTTTATAATAGGTGTCATGCTAATATTTTTTTGTATAGTCATTTCTTGTCTTTTTTTTTGTGATGATCACTCATCTATCTTAACATTCTTATTGCTGTAACTTTCACTTTTTTCTTGTATTTTTCCTTTAAAATCTCGCATTCACTACCATAAGAATAATTGGTTCTATAAATAGGTACTTATAATCACAAAAAACTTTCGATGCCATTCTCCACTTTAAACCAACGCTAGTCGTTATCTTGTTTTTTGCTAAAATTACAATGTATATGCTCTATTTTACTTCCTTTTACGCTAAAACCATTAGATTCTAAAGTACATCTCCAAAGTTCAAGTTTAAAGTTGTTAAGATGTTTCACATTGGTTAGGAATAGATATAGAATACTCCTTATAAGGGTCAGAGCAGTCTTCTTTTATGAGCTAGCTTTTGGGAGTGAGTTAGGCCCATATTTCTTAACATGGTATGAGAACCTATTCAATTTGAACGTTGGGTTGCTCACAAATGTCCAGTCCTGTTAAGTCCACTTATGCATATGTCCAGTCCTGCAAGTTTCATGCACCAGATGTCCAGTCCTAGGCATAAGGGGGGTGTGTTAAGATGGGCAGTCCTCCTCTTATGAGCTAACTTTTGGGAGTGAGTTAGGTCCAAGTTTCTTAACATGGTATCAGAATCTATTCAATTTGAACATTGGGCTGCTCACAAATGTCCAATCCTACAAGTTTCATGCACCAGATGTCCAGTTCTAGGAGTGAGGGGGGGTGTAAAGATGGGCAGTCCTTATAAGACCCATGCAGATGTCCAATCCTAGGCGTGAGGGGGGTGTGTTAAGATGGGCAGTCCTCCTCTTATGAGCTAGCTTTTGGGAGTGAGTTAGGCCCAAGTTTCTTAACGAAAGTTAACTTCTTTTTATGATTTCTCAATCAAAATGTTATCTGTGAAGAACATGCATATAGAGATAACTTTTTATATATTACTTATAAGTACATCTAAGATTAGGTTGAACAGATAAGGAGTTAAAGTTAATCCTTGAATTAAACCGATGTTCCTATAAAGAAGTCCTTAGATACGCATTCAGGGATTCCCAAATTTGTAAATACCTTATTATACATGTTTGGTGTAGCTCGAATCAAATATATGTTATATGAATACCCGTCATTTCTAAAATTTCTCACACCACTTCAATTGACACACAGCTATATGTTTTTTCCAAGTAAATGAAAATCATTTAAATTCTTTTCTTTTTAACAGTATATTTTCATCTACTATTGTTGACCTTTCTAGCAGAAAACTAAATTGATTCTCAACAATTCCAGTTTTTTCTTAGTTTATGTTCAATTATCTTTTTCCATAATTTTTAGTGTTATTTATAAGTTTTATCTCGTGGTAATCATAATTTTAAATATTGCTCTTGTTCTTGTGTATAGGAATTAAAATGTTCTTTCTCGACTCATTTGACATATTTTTATGTCTCAAACTATGATTAAAGAGCTTAGTAATCTAACCAATTCTTATTCTCCTATACATTTCAAACTTCAATACGAAGCTTTACCATTATCCATCCTCTTGAGTGTTTCTTTTTTTCTTCTCCAACTTGAATTCTGCTATAGTATGCCAAATTTAGTTCATCTACTTGAGTTTTTAATCCTACTATTTTACCATTTTATCCTTGTCCATTATTAAAAAGTTTATAAAAATAGTTCTCATATTTGTCTTTGTTATCTTGATTTGTAATGAAAACTTTCCTTTCTTCATCATTGATACATTTAACTTGATTCAAATCTCTGAATTTTCTTTTTATATTTTTGGCAAACTTGTATATCTTTCTTCTGTCATTTTTTGTTCCAAAATCTTGGTAGAACTCCTCAAAATTCATAGATCGTATTTTACTCACAGTTTTTCTTGTTGCGTTTATGACATTTTAATATCTTGTCCAATTTTCTACATTATTGCACTTGTGTAAAACTTTAAAGCACTTCCTTTTCTCACTAACCTTCTCTTTCACACGTTCATTCCACTACCACCAAGATTCTTTAATCCTTATCTTTTGATATAGAGCCTCTAAATTCACCTAAATTTGTCTTAACAACGCTCCTGACTTTCTTAGACATCTCATCTCAAATGATGTTAGCCTCCACTGACTAACTACTTAAAATCCAACTGAATTACAAGGAATAGATTGCAACTTTTTAAAAACAAGTAACAAAATGAAAAAATCTTGATATTTTGATGGTCTACAGATATAACTTATCCAAAAAAAATTCCCTTTGTTTTTCTTTACGGTTTTCTCATTTGTTTGCAAAAGAGAACTATATTAAAAAGTGAATATAATTGTTCTGTCTTCTATAATTCAGGAACTGTGAAATCAAATCAATAGCACCATATGGAGTTTTTGTAGAGATAGCACCTGGACGAGAGGTACATGCTTCCACTTAGTTGCCAACAGCATAAGTATAGATAATTAGAAACATATACCATTAGATTGCTTCTTAAGCATGGTTGAATTTTTTGGGTTTTCTAGTTGTAATATCTTTGCGTGTATTAGAAAAATGTATTTCCCTTTTAATATTTGCATTTCACTTCAGAAGGACTTCAATAATTTTGCAAGAAAAAGGTCATGCTTCTATAGAATAATGAAAATATCATACTTTATAACTATTTGGACATTTCTTATTATTGTATGTAGGGACTTTGTCATATCAGTGAATTGAGTTCAGGTTGGCTACCCAAGGCAGAAGATGTAAGCATATTATTTTCATTCCATTTTCCAAAGAAAAATTATCATTATATATGCAAATAATGCTGGGATAATATTTGACTTGCATTCCTCTAGGTTTTCAAAGTGGGAGATCGTATTGATGTAAAGCTTATAGAGGTATATCATTTTACTTATTGTTAGCTTTAAAAAAAGAATAAAAAAATTACCAATGCTTCTATACCCAATATTGTAGTTTTCTTTCGTTATCTTTTTCATCATGATGGTGATTCAACATAGCCAAGCTGTTCCTTCATTTGATGTTTGTCCTATGTGCTGGGTTATTCTAGTGAGGTATATAACCTTGTTCACAAGCTTTTAAATTGAGTCTCACTCACTCCTAAAAGCTAGCTCAAACGAAAAGGGCTACCCAAGCTTTATAAGTTTTGTCTCTATTCCTAGCTAATATGGGACATTTTAACACAGTGAAATCTTTTATTTTATTTTATTTTGAAGTTGGTGAAATTTCATTACGGCTAAGGTAACCATCTTGTTTTTGTAAAATTTTATTGTATCTGAAGGATGTGATTTGTTGTTTCATAATATTCAATTTTACCTTATTGTGTGGTGGGCATTCTCTCTTATGATTTGAAGCATGCACTGCAGATAAATGATAAGGGGCAGCTGCGCCTTAGTCACCGAGCTCTTCTTCCAGATACGGATCCAGACAGCTCAAATGCTAAACAGTCTACTGGCAAACTCACTGAGGATGGTTTAGCGGAAGAGAAGGTTGAACAATCTAAGGATAAGTCTAGCACTCCCAAAGTTACAACCTCTTCTAAAAGGAGTTCAGAGGACGATTCTTTACTTCCATCAAAAAAGTTTGTCAGGAGATTGGTAAACTCATCCCAGGATAAGCCTTTCACTAACAAAGACAAGACAAAGAAGAGTAACAACAAAACAGTTGGTAGTGTCTCCAGCAAAGATGAAAATAGTTTGGTTAGTGGAGAGGCATAAAAGTGCGCCAAAATATTTTCAAGTAAAGCGGAAAATAGTGATGCTATGAGAAAAATTTTGGTTTCATATACACAAAAAGGCTGTGGTTGGTAGCGCTTACAATCTACACATGAATGGTATGAGCAACCTATATCAATTTACTGCTGATTCGTTGTTGATACACCTATCCACAAATGCTCAAATTCTTTAATCTTGCCTTAAGTAACTTCTATTTTGATAACACAAATATAAATGGTAAATAAGAGAAACTGGCTAGAACTCAAACTGTTCAGTCCTGTTCAATGTATACCAATTTGGTAGCCACAGAACTGAGGCTATTTAGAGTGCAAGCCATGGCTCAATGATTAGGTTGTTGCATTGTGATGTGGAGTTCATGCACTCTAGCTGGGATTCTCATGCCCTTGGTCACTCTTATTAAGAACTGAATTTTTTTACAATGACAATTTCTATGCCTATCTGGCAGTTGAACTTTATGTATATCATACGAAGTAATCACTAACAGATATGATTGTAAGTTTTTGATCCAAAGTTTTGTTTGCTATAAGCAAGATTCAGGTTTTTGTTTTGGTGGCATGTTTTCTATTACCGAGTTATTTACTTGCCCACTGATGGTACTGATCCTTTTGGCAGTGAAGATCTTTTGATACATGCTGGTGCCTGAACTGGAAAATAGAAACCCATGTGACTCTTGTGTCTTTACAAGGCAGATAACTTTGTTTAAGCAAGAAAGGTGAAAGAGCTTACTATCCAACTCTCCTTTTGTATAGTCCATATCTGACTGCAACGCTTCAGATGTTTGCATGGGATGATGAATACACCATGGAAATTTTGTCTGTGTTTCTTCTCCCGATGATACCTCTTTGTCTTCGATCTGTTGTTATATGCTTCATAGTTTTTTCTTAGGTTATTATTTACTATGATGCTTCCCTCCTGTGGTTAGCTCTAGTTACGGAGGTATCAAATGTAAATCTTAGTACAACAGTACAAGGTCGCTTTGTATTTAGTGTCTTTTTTAACAATTAAAATTATGATGTTTGTTATACTCCAAATTGCAAGTTTTGGCGTGCAACCTCATTGGTAGTAATCTCGTTAATAGTGCTGCTATTTCGTGACATTAATATCCTTTGTAAGACTCGTGCACGAACTTAGAACTCAATGGATCACTTCGAAGATATTCTGATAGAAATGTTGCTTGTTCTTTTCGTCAATTTAGGCCATGTCTTGATTATGTTCCCTACTATATAAACAAAATGAAACCGAACATTCATTCAGTCATAAATGGTAATAATATTTAGGGTTTAATAACGGTAATGATTTTGATTTGTCGAATTTAGCCTCACAAAATCAAACCAAATTAATCAGTTATCTTTCGAGTTAATTTATTATAAACAACCATTTCCCAGCTTTTATTTTTCTGTTTGACTTGGACAAGTTACTGTCATCGAACCACCAAACTACCCGTATCAGAGAATCTATCATCATGTTAATGGATTGATTGAAATAGAAGTATCAAAATATTATATAATATTATATTTTAAATTTTAAAATTAAAAAAATATAGCTTCATTTTGTAATGATTAAAAACACAATTGCTATGACTATAGCTAAATTCAGTAACAAGTAGAACACAAAATCTTATAAAAGGTGAAAAACAATTATGTATAAAGAGTAAAATTTCTTGACGTCAAGTGTGAAATTTATATGCTCATATCACTTAAATAATTCTTTATAAAATGCATGATTAACTAATTCAACTGCTGGTTTGAAGGTTCTTAATAAGCAACTTAATTTTATGGTTTCATACAAAAATAAAATTAATAAATACTTCATTGAGTTATTTTATTTTAATAGTATAATTTTATTTTAATTGGTAATATACTTTTAAAATATAAATAAATATTAGTTTTTTATAACATTCAAATTATGTAAAACTTAATATTCATAATCATAAAGATAATATAAGATAAGTCAATATTTGAATTGATTATTCTTACATTTTATATTGAGTGGTTTGTGTGGAAGTTTAACATCTAATGTCGATAGATCTTGATTCATATATATGTAAGCTATTATTAAAATAAATATTCATATCTTAATTTTTACTTCCAATTTTTGTGTGATAGCAACTTAATTTCTATTGTAAAATCTTTATTATTATTTTAAGGATTTAATTGACCTTAACTCTTAGAGTTGAATTTAAGTTTTTATAAATAGAAAAAAAAAATTATCAAAAAAGTGCATATTTATTGTACTAAACTTATAAAAGTATAATGAATATTTTTTTAATAAATATTTATCATTATTAATTGTTCATCGTTGGTCAAAGATAATATACTCACTTCATCAAATATTTAAATAAGAATGTTATAAATATAATAAATGTAAAAGTTACATGAGCAAATCTTTTCTTAATTATATTATCATTATTTCAAAAGTATACCAAATAAGCTCAAATTAAAAAAAATTTAAGGTATGCTTGTTTGTATTTATTTTTTTTAAAAAAAAAAACTCTTTAAAAATACGAATAAATATACTTTCATTTTCTTTTTTATTTTATTTTTAAGTTGAATAAAAAAATTGATCTTAATGAATTTTCTTTTATAAAGTATAATAGTCAACGGAAAACTCTCAACAACAACTTTTTATACCAGAGTTGCAGTTGAATCAATATCACCAATATTATTTTCATCCAGATTGTAAAGAATGCAATGTGGATTCGTTAGTTTAATGTCTTCTCGTCATGGCTACAAAAATTAACAATAAAATAAATCAAACAATTAGAAAATAAAGAATATAAAAGGCAAGGGTATGTCCTCTCTAGGTTATTATGGATCAAAACTTATAAAACCATACAAGTTTATCCTAAAAATATGGATTTGTTTTGTTTGAGAACATCTTTATTTGCATATACATAGGAAATAGGAATAACATTATTTGTCAACTTTGTTAAAGATACATTTAAAAGATCTGAAAATTTTTTTAATTTCTTTGTGTCATCAACAAAATTAGCCATAATCTTAATTAACTTTTGTGATTTTAATTTTTAATCAAATGTTTTCATCAAAATAATTAAAAAAATTAGCAAAAAGACATTTATAAAAATAGTCATTTAAAAGTTTGTTACATTTAAATAACAAAGACTTATGTTATAAACTTAATTTATTATAATAAGTTTAAAAATAACTTATTTTGATAAGTGACGTCAATAAATTCATTGAAATAAACTAAAAACAGTTTATGAAAGACATAAATTATTTTTTATAAGTTGTTCATATGTCTTTTTCAATAAGTTTTTTGTTGATTGAATACATAAAGTGTGACTTGATAATACTGTTATTTATCTTAATGAAATCATCCTTGTTCTCTCTCTAAGTTTCATTTTCTTTCACAGCATAAACAAGTAGTCAAAAGTTATTTCAAGTTTTTTTATAAATAAAAGAATGTGTAAGGTTCAAAATATAAACCTCTTCGTTAGAATCATTCTAACTAGCTATAAGACAAAGGTTGACCGTTTCCTCCACTTCTTCTCCTAATGACCTTTTGCTTTTGCTTAAATTATTTCACGTAGTCATTTTGGTGTTCTTATTAAAAGGCTTCTTGAAATCCTTCTTCAACTATGAACAATTAGTTTTGTTAATTCTTTGCTAGTTACAAATAGTAAATAATTTTTTTTTGTTATTGTCTTCAACTTTTAATATTTTTCCTCTCAATTTTGTTTGATAATAAAGACCAATTTGTTTGATAATTTATTAAAATCTAATTAATATTCAAGTTAAGAGCAAAGGACTACTAATTATGATAATACTAATAAAAAAAACTTTTAATGTCAATTAAAAATAACATTTAATGTAGAAAGCCAAGACATTTTTACATTTGTTATACATCAGTCTAAAAATGTTATGCAAATGATATTTGTTTGTATAACAATATTACTCTTCATATCACTCAACAAATTCAATATTTTATGTAAAGACATGTTTTAGTAGCGTGTCACTTCGTTAAAAAAAATATTTAGAGACTTTACTACAATCCCATCAATTTTGGCAATTGTCTTTTTTATATTTGAAGTCTTCAAGTGGCTTATATATGTAACAAGTCTAAGATTTATATGCTCTCATTTGAGGGAAAGACTTAGAAAGGATGTTAATTGTAGGTTAATTTTATGTTGTATATTACTCCCATCAATTCTATTTATAAGAATATTTTAATTAAATCATTACACTTAAAAATATTTCAAATTTATAAATACATAAAGAAATAATAAATATTTTTCAAAATAATTTTATATTAAGACTACCAAAGCTAACAAATCTTTTTAAATTATTAAATAATGAAAATATTAAATATTTTTTATGATTTTAAAATAATAAAAACATGTAATTTTTTATTTAATAAATTACTAATTAGAAAAAAACTAAACCTAAAAAGAAAATTGATAATCAAACCAACCCAACAATTTTTTTTTTGCTTTTATCTGGTTTTTTAACATTGTTAATTTTTTCAAAAAATATATTTAAAAATGATTGTTAGGTCATTTTATTTATATCTAATTTTATTTATTAACAAGTTAAAAATTAAACTAACTGATTTAACGAATCAAATCATAAATTAATTATATTTTTTCTTTAACTTTAACTTTAATTAAATTATCAAATTAACTTGGTTAAACAAATCACATGATCAGAAAATTTCATTGATCCAGCCTCTAATTTGAAACAAAAAAAAATATCTTTTTTACTAATCCCTCTACTTTCGTTTTATTTATTTAGTTCACATTTATATTTTATTTATTAACTATCCTTAAAAGAAGCTAAGCTCAAAATGCCCAATTGAAAAACCACAAGTGCATAGCCCAATACAACTAAAACCCAGCCCAATTACAAGCAAAACCAAACTAAAATTAAAACACAGCAGTTGAACTAAAAATCAAAAGTAGTAGTAATATATATAAAATTTTCAAGTCCAAAACAGTCTTCAGACCTTAGGGCTGCAAGGTTTGTGATTTCTCACAACCGCGCCGCCGCTCAACAGCCACTGTCCGCCGACAGCTACCGTTTTCAGGTTCTCTCTCTTTCCCTAATGATTCCTTCTATGTCACTCTCTCTATGGTTTCATAAACCTAAACATAAAACTGTGTATGCAGAGAAGGAAACTAGAAAACATGGCAGAAGAGGATTCGAAGCCTCTGACCTATATTCCAGAGGTTATGCTGAAGAAGAGGAAGAGTAACGAAGCTTGGGCATTGAGAAAAAAAGCACAATTCCAGAACAAAAAGTTCCGCTCCAAGGACTCCATCAAGAAGCCCGAGGATTTCGTTCACGAGTATCGAAACCAAGTAAAATTCAATATCTGAATTTCGCTAATTTTATAACTTGTTTATCCAAAATCCCTAAACTAGACGCATTTGATTAACGACTTGCGTTGCTATTGTTGCGTGAGAAGGAGGTGGACCTTATAAGAATGAAACGGAGGGTAAAGAGGAAATTGCCTGAACAATTGATCCCCGAATCCAAGCCGTTAATAATTATTCGGATACAGGGGTATCTTATATTTCTTGGTTTTTATTTTTATTTTTTGATTTTTGGCTCTGTGAAAAGGTGACAATATTTTTGTACCCATTGTTTTAGGAAAAAAGACATGCATCCAATGACCAGAAAGGTATTATACAGCTTGGGATTGAGAAGTGTTTTCAGTGCTGTGTTTCTGAAGCCAAATGACGGAATAATGGGCAAGCTGCTGAGAGTGGAACCATATGTAACCTATGGGTAAGAGATTAATGTTTTTGATTTTGTGTTTGAGGGCGATTCTGATATGTACCTTATGGATGTTGGTGGAAGAGTAGGTTTCTAGAACTTTCATATATTTCTGGGTTAAAGGCAAGGTGAGTTGGTTATATTATTCTTATGTTCTCCTGTAGTTTCGTCTATTGTAACAAAATCCAAAAGAAGCTTCTGGTCCGGAATGTCAACATAAAAATTTCTTTCTGGGAAGTTTGAGGGGTCTATAATATTGATTAGGAATGTTAATGGCAAAGTGAGTTTTAGTATTTGGTGTCAACGATCTTATAGCGCATGCCTGCAACTTATTCAAAGGGAAATGCCGACATCTTGACTATATGTACCGAGCCAACAAATAACAGTGTTTTTCCTATGCTTTTTACATGCTTCAAATGTATTTCCCACGATGTGGAATGCTTTCAATGCTCTTTTCCACATTGGGTGGAATAGCATTACCCTTTCGAAAACCTTGTTTTTATGTTTTCTTATATTTGTATGTTCCTTTATGTGTGTTGTATTCCTAACAGTAAGACAGAGATAGTATATCACCTGCTAAGAATTATTCTTAATTTTTTGCATGTCTGTTTCTTTTGAAGATATCCAAATCTTAAAAGCATTAAGGAGCTAATTTACAAGAAAGGACATGCAAAAATAGATAAGCAAAAAGTTCCCTTGACAGATAATAACATCATTGAACAGGTAATATTTGGTGTTGCTGGATTCCTGGTTTTCCTTTGACTTTTCCCCCATAAGTGCACTTGTGATTCTTCTGTCTTTTGCCATGTAGGAATTAGGAAAGTTTGGTATTTTATGCATAGAAGACATGGTGCATCAACTCTATAATGTTGGTCCACACTTTAAGGAAGTCGTCAGATTTTTGTGGCCCTTTCAACTCAACAAGCCAGCTGAAGGATTGAAAGGATCAAAAACCCTATACAAGGATGGTGGAGACACAGGAAACCGTGAGGATCTCATCAATGAACTAATCAATAAAATGAATTAACTTTGGCCTCTGTAGTATCAAAATTTTGATGTTTATGAATTATGATGTCCCTCTGATTATCCTAGGTACAAACATCTCATTTTTGAAGTTACGCGTTAGAAAATTTTTTACAGACTCTTGTTATAGTCGAATTTAAGTATGTATTTATCTTTATGCCTTCATTTACTTCATCTACTTCTCATTGAGTTCCATTGGGAGGGCTGGGAAGAAGGGGATGTGTAGAGTGTGCTTTGGGGCTTGAATCTGTGTATTCCCGTTATGTAATCAATGTCACTCAAGAACAACGATTAGAGCCTGAATGAAGTTTTGATTACAAAGTGGACCGAAGTGTGACAGTGATGATAATCAAGAAAATTGTTGTTAAAGAATCTTAGTATTGTTTGTGATGATCTATAACGATTTAGAACTTCAAAATTTATCAATTAGGAACTTTTAATTGTCAAGTGTTTATTGACTTAATATATGCTCATGAAATCTTGTCAAAGTTAAATAAAAAGTTTGTTCTATCACAGCCGTTTGCTTCACCATTGTTGCTGCATAAGATTGCATTCTAGTGGGTTATAGTAGAACTATATCTGAAACTAATGAGTGCAATTTGTGTGTGATGTTTGGATCGATATGCATTCATAATTATGATCCATTTGCTTTTGGCTTATCTAGCAGGAATCGGATCTGTTGTTGATTTTGGACAGCCATGTGCAATACTTTCTCCCTGTTATGAATGCTATCTTCTGTTAATGACATCTTCTCAATTTAGAATCAATGAAAATATGGGGTCATTGGAGGTCATAAACTTCAAACGGTGTTAACCATAGTAGAGATCATGATGTAACCACAAAGATTGTAATAACCTGATTTTGTATAGAACTTTGCTGTGGCCATTTCTTTTCTGATTGCTGGATTAGCCGCTGCTCTTAAACCATTTTCCTATGCTTTTGGCTATCCTTCTGCAGGGGAGGGCGTATCACTAGTCATATTTCATACATGTCTTGGGGGAAAGGGTACTGCACTACTTTTTCAGTGTCTTTCATATTATTCATTCTTATTTTTGTTTGTTGTTTCCTAAAGAATTGAATTTGGTTGCTAGACGGATTCAAATTATATCAAGATCAATTTAAGTGTCAACTTAAAAATTCTTTTTATGGTTAGTGGATTTCAACTGCCTCATTCTGCGACGGAAAATGGATAGATAAATAGGTTCTTATTAGGTTAGTAGTTATATAAGCGTGCTTTCGGATAAAGACACAACGCAAGGAACCATAATTAGAATAGTTTCCTCTAGTGTTCTCGTTGTTCCAAGAAGGAAAAAGATGAATGAACAATTGAAAATATATAAATTACGAATTCCATATTTACATTTTTTGAACATGCTACAAGACACACACAGGATATATCATACTAATGGTAAATAATGGGGAATGAATGAGATGTAATTTAATGCATACTACAATGACGTTCTTCCATAGAAGAAAATTAAATAAATGCACGACCCTATGCTTGAGAAGCATTTCCTGTACAGGGATTATATTTACAATTTACAAATGAGGCAGGTGCGGTATTTTCCTTGACTTGGGTTGCAAGCAATATCAATACACACTTGGACTAAGCCAAATTTGGTTTGCGGAGATTAGGCAACAGAGTTTTTGGAAGTCTGGCAAATTTCACCCACTTGCTTTGCTGGCACATAAATTGCATCTTTTAGAGTGCTATGGGTTCGGCCATAAAACAAATAAACTAATAGTCCTGTCGCCAGCCATATAGAAACCCGCAACAATGCACCATCTCTGAAAGAATGATATACAAGAATTAGAGTGTCATGCAATTCAAAAAAGAATCTCAACAGAGAAATGCTGATTTAACATAGTACATTGATAACTCGGATGAAGTGTAAGTTTGTCACCCTGAAGGCAGACATAGAAGAAAAAAGAAAATACCAGATATATCCTAATATTCATTTTTTAAAAAATAATTATATAAACAAAAAGCACCCCTCTGAGTTACTTTTAGTCTTGAAATCAAACCACTTCCTTCTTTTAAGGCTTCATATAGGTGCATAAACTCAATTTTCCAACTGGTCCCCCACTCCATACATAATTATAAATGCTTACCCAAGACTAACAAGTAAGTAGGAGTTGATGAGAATGCAAGCTATGGGAAGCAGTGGCACCAATGGGCAAGTGAAACCTGACAAAAGATTAATAATAGAATTATTTCTCTTAAACTGAACATTCTTAATGGCCAACCTATTTTCTACAGTTTTTTAATGGTATACAACATTTTTTCCATACATTCCATGTCTGACATCTGCATAACATCTACATTAGTAGTCAGGAATGAGATACCCTCCAACAGTACTCATAAATTTATCAAACACAAGTGTTGATTGGAATGACCTGTGAAGCTGCCAAATGAATTTTTAATTTTTCTGACTTTTAGACAATAAAGAGTCAAATATTTGTTACGATCAAAATATTTGATTTCCTTTTTTTTGGGCATCTAATATGTTTATCAGTAGTAGATTTTTGCACATTTATCTTCCTTATTTTCTGTAGAAGTACATGATTTGCATTTCAATAAAATAGAAGCCTTTGACAAATTCAAATTTTTCTTTTGTTCCCTCTTGTTCCAACTCTCTATGTGTTATTTCAACAACCAACAAATTGGTAATCAAAGCTGTTTTCTTACAGGATCTGTGAAATGGACGCTGAAGCAAATTTTTCACAAATTGCTCCTCCTATCTTTGATGGAGAAAGCTATGAGCTTTGGGATGTGAGAATGGAATCCTACACGCAGGCTTTAGATCTTTGGGAACCCATGGAAGAAGATTATGATGTTTCTTTGCTACTAGACAATCCCACCATGGTCCAGATTAAAAATTAGTAGAAAAAAAAAACAAAGAAGACAAAGGTAAAAGCATGTCTCTTTGCTTGTCTCAAAAATCATTTTCACTAGAATCATGACCCTCAGCAAAAGCGATTTGGGATTACTTGAAAGAAAAATATGCAGGAGATATGAAATATGCAGGTGCTAAATTTAATAAGAGAACTTGAGTTACAACGAATGAAAGAGTCTGAAACAATTAAAGAATACTCAGATAGATTGCTTAGCATTGCCAACAAGATCAGATTATTGGGCACAAAATTTCTTGATTCTAGAATCGTACAAAAAATTCTTGTAACAATACCAGAAAGATACAAATCTTCTATAGCCACCTTAGAGAACACAAAAGATCTATGTACAATCACATTGGCAGAAGTGTTACATGCATTGAAGGCACAAGAGCATAGAAGGCTTACGAGGCAAGAAGGATCTATGGAGGGTGCCTTTCAAGCCAAGTTGCAAATCAACAAGAGCAACAAGCCTGGAGGTTTTGCAAATAGCAAACACAACAATTAAAACAACAACAATCAGGTTTATCCACCTTACCCTCATTGTAAAACACTAATCATCCACCAAAAAGGTGCTGGTGGAGGCCAGATGTCGTAAGTGTGGTCAGTTAGGGCACATGGAAAGGATATGCAAGTCTCAACAACAGCAAGAAGTCAAGGTTGTTGACGATCAACTATAGGAGGAACAATTATTTGTTGTGTCATGCTTTGCTACCAATAGCTCTACAGAAAGTTGGCTCATTGATAGTGGTTGTACAAATCATATGACTTATGATCATGATCTTTTTAGAGAACTTGATAAAACTGTTCTTTCAAAAGTCAAGATTGGAAATGGAGCATACATTGAAGTGAAAGGCAAAGGAACTGTGGCAATTGAAGACCACATAGGTTTGAAACTGATTTATGATGTTTTATATATTCTTGAAATCAATCAAAATCTTTTGAGTGTTTCTTAGGGATGACAATAGATAAAGTACTCGATGGGCATTCGCAAAATTTACCTACAAATTTATGTGAGATGAATGTGGGTATGAGTATCTAAGTACCCACCCCGCCATATATATATGTTTGAATTTTGTTCTACAACTATGTATTAAATTTATTTATTATTTTACATTATTTAATTATGCTAATACAATTTAATTATTACATAGTTGATATGAGATTGACTTTTTTTAAAAAATATTATTTATATATGACAAACATAAAATATTTTTCACCTAAATATTTTTGTCAATAAAGTCATATTGATATTTAAATCATAAAGTGAATGATAAATAATAAATATATTGTAAATATTTTATAAATTATACAATTACCTACTATTATAAAAAATTTATTATTTATTGATAATATTTAAATTTTATTTTTTATATTTTAATTTAAAATAATATTTTCTTATGTAATATATGCATTACAAGCACAACTATAATTTATTGAATCTAAATAATATTATTCTTACTATTTATTTACCTTCAAAGAAATTTTTAAAAAGATATAAAATATAAAAAATTATTGTTAATTTTTATTTATTAATTTTTTCTTTAGATAAAAAAAGTATAATTTTTTTTATACACACATATATTTCTTTATTATAAAATTTTATTGTGATTATTTATCTTTTATTCAAATTTTTTCTTTTAAAATTTATATACATTATAAATATTTAATTTATTAAAATAATTTTTTAAAAATTTGTATTTTTGGCAAAATGTTTTCATATAATATATGAGTTAAAAATACTAGTATTAATACATATATATATATATATATTATTTTAATTAAATCTATTATTTTTCTTACAATTTCAAATTCAAAAGTTAAAAAAAATATTTTATATGTTCACTTTTCGTTGTTAGGACTTAAACTTCTTTACTCTAACTTTACTCTCATTCTAACCGTTGTCTCATTAAAATCTAACAACTATGAAATGTTATTTATTAGAATTTGTTGGCAAAGCCGCCACAAGAAATCATCAAGTGATCCCACACCACCCATTGTGCAGATCTATTTCGTTATCGCTTTGACATTGTCGATCGATCGAATCTCACACAAATAGGGTTATCGCAAACAAATAACTTGTGTATTTAGTTTTACTTATTGTTTCTAAGAATTATAGTTTAGAAAATTATTATATTAAGATATATTTAGCACTTGGGATATTTGAATATTTATTTTTTATCTATATTTGTACCTTGTCCGATAAGTACATATTGAATTTTTGTATTATTAGACTATTTATGTGAAGTTATATAAACATATTATTTTTTATAAATATTTTTTTCTAAAATAAGCACGGGTAATGGGTACAATGGGTATGTGGGTACCCAAAGAGTACGAGTACGGAGATTAATATTCATACCTACGCGAGTATGGGACTAGATATGAGTATTTTTTTAAAACGCGGGTATGGGGATGGGTACTATAGTACCCTACCCATTGTCATCCTTAGTGTTCCTTAGTTGCTGGAGAAAGGATATAAGGTGTTGTTTGAAGACAAAAATTGCATGATTAAAGGCTCAAAAGACAGAGAGGTGTTCAAAGTTCAAATGAAAGGCAAAAGCTTTGCCTTGGATTTCATGAACAAGGAGTAAGCTGCAGTACACAAAGAGGTTAGTAGTACAGAACTTTGGCACAAGAGATTGGGCCATTTCCATCATAGTGCTCTAATCTTTATGAAGAAAAACAATCTTGCAAAAAACTTCCCTGAATTAGAAGAAGTTCCTGCATGTGCTACTTGCCAATATAGAAAGAAAACAAGGCTCCCTTTTCCACAAAATAATGCTTGGAGGGATTCACAAAAGCTGCAATTAATACATACAGATGTTGGAGGACCCATGAGCATGCCATCATTGAAAGGGAGTAAGTATTATATTGTTTTCATTGATGACAATACAAGAATGTGCTGGGTTTATTTTATGAAGTTTAAATCTGAAGTTGCTGAGATTTTTTGGAAGTTCAAAGCTTGGGTGGAAACTCAAAGCAAGTGCAAATTGAAGGTGATCAGGTCCGACAATGGAACTGAATATATCCCTGAAAAGTTTAATAAGTTTTGTGAAGATGCAGCCATAGAACACTAGTTGACAACACCTTATTCACCTCAGCAAAATAGCATTGTAGAAAGAAAGAACAGGACAATTATGGATATGGCTAGGTGTTTGCTTCATGATAAAGAATTGCTAAAGAAATTTTAGGCAAAAGCTATAAATATAGCAGTTTTTTTGCTGAACAGGCTGCTGACAAAAGCATTGCAAAAAAGGACACCATTTGAAGCATGGTATAGTTACAAACTTGAGTTGCTCAATCTGAAGATATTTGGTTGCTTGTGTTTCTCTTATATTCCTAAGGTTAAGAGAGACAAACTAGACAAGAAAGCAGAACTTGGAATTTTTGTAGGCTATAACTTAATTTCAAAGGCCTACAGGATCTATCTACCACACCACAACAAAGTAACTGTCAGCAGGGATGTCAAATTCTTGGAGTTAGATAGCTGGAGTTGGGAAGAAGACAAGAAGATTGAATTTCAAGGGGAGAATGAAGATGTAGATGAAGAACCTGTCAGATGAACAAGATCCAGTCTTCCATGGCAAAACAAAACACTTCAAGATCAAATTTTTTTTTCTAAGAGAAGTTCAGAAGGATGCAGAAGTGCAGCTTGTCTATTGTAGAACTGAATATCAAAGTGCTGACATTCTGACAAAGGCATTTCCTAAAACTAGATTTGAGTTCTTGGGGAAAAGACTTGGAGTATGCAGCTTCAGTGTCAAGGAAGAGTGTTGATTGGAATGACCGTGAAGCTGCCAAATCAGTTTTTAATTTTCCTGATTTTTAGGCAATAAAGAGTCAAATATTTGTTAAGATCAAAATATTTGATCTCCTTTTTTTGGACATCTAATATGTTTATCAGTAGCAGATTTTTTGCACGTTTATCTTTCTTATTTTCTGTATAAGTACATGATTTGCATTTCAATAAAATACAAGCCTTCAACAAATTCAAATTTTCCTTTTGTTTCCTCTTGTTCCAGCCCTCTATATGTTATTTCAACAACCAACAACAAGGATATATAATTGTAAGGCATACATACCTCCAGAGTGCCCAAAGTTGTGTCTTGCATCATCTTGATCTATGTAGGTTAGGTAAACGAAACCAGACAAAAGAAGAAAACCACCAACTCCACCCATTGAAAAGCGAACAGAACTGACAATAGCATAAAACAATGCTGTAAAAACTAAGAACATTGAACAATCCTCAAATGAAATGATAAATACTAATGAAGTGCATAAACTTATTGTAGATTCTTCTGTTTCAATATTGTCAAACCACTTCCCTTCCCAGAGGATAGGACCAAGTCCCTAAATATTCCACTTCCTTGCGTTTCAAATCAGCCACCAAACTATTTAGGGATCTTGAATCCTTGACTTTGTATTATAAAATGTCATTTCATGTGAAGCTTTAGAAAATCTATATAATCTGCTATTAGGCTAACCTAGTAAGAGTCAAATCTGAAGCTGCATATGTAAGGATAAACGCCCCAAAGCTTATGAATGCTATGCTCCACCCAGTGACTCTTCGCCTATTACCTTCGGTTAGATCTGCAGGAATAAACAAATAAATAAAGTAAGGAAAAGAAAAGGAAAGGATGCCAAATGACAAGTGAATTGATGTTAGTTACGTGAGCAACATAGTCATTGATTATATATCTTGAGCACTAAATTTACATTATTTAAGAATTATGACATAGATTGTTGGTAAAGGAGAAGGTAAGTCATAACTCACGTTTGACTACAGCAAGATGTTTAGCAATAAGAGGATGATCAATCGAAACATCCTCGTTAACAATTAAAGGTGCTGTATCCTCACTAGTACCAACATCTGTATCTACATTGCTCAAGCTATACTTCTTTGACACTGAATCAATCGAATTCAGGAGGGAAGGAGGCAATGGGACTTCATCTGGAGGGATATATCTTAGGATCAAAACAGATATTGCCACCACAGTGAATGCTAAAAGCGTACCCACACTAACCTGCAGTAGAAAAGCTAAATACTAAATAGTAATACTATAGGCATTTACGCATGACATAAAAAAACCATCCTGAGAAGATCATATATGACATGGGAATTTCATAACCGCCTTTGAAATGTTTAATAATTTCAAAAGAGTATGGAATCGGAAAAAAAGAATATATAATGCCTGGATTTAGAATGGAAAAATTAATGGCTTTTTTCCTTGGGGATTTAACTGCTCTTGCTAGATTGAAATTATATTGACAAATTTAACATTGTTGAGATAATATGCAGCCACAACTTGTTAATTAAACACATTCATTGTAGACTTGTAATTGAAGAATCATGGCTTCTTGGTGGCATGACCCATATTGCCACAGCATGTTATTACAGGTACTTGCCAACAATACATTCTTTAAACACACTATTATCAGTTCATTGTTTTAAAAGGTCAATTTAGTTACCTCATAAGCAGACTACTATTCAAAGCAAGTGCTGAGTGAAGGAACAAATAATGAAAGTATTTAAGAATGTGTTACTAGCATTCCTCATTATAGGAATGTCATATACTATAATGCACAACGTCAATTATTAATGGAATTTTGTATACATGAAAGCTCACCATCCCTGCCAGTTGAGAGACTTCCATAGAAAATGCCAAGACGGCAGCCAAAGCGCCAGTAGCTATTGTGCCTTTAACAGGAACCTGACTCTGCTTATTGATGTCAGAAAAAAATGGAGGTAGTAGCCCATCCCTTGCCATAGACATCAATATTCGTGGCTGAGAAACATTAAACAAAACTCATCATTTATAATTTTCCCTAGAAAATTAAATACTTCAAAAGATAAAGGAACAAAATGTGTGATAACTTGAACAAGCAATGATAGCATAAACCAGCAAAAGAAATGCAACTTCTATTTGAATATGATGCTTCAAATAAAATTCACTAGACTACTCCTTGTCCTTGCACGATTCTCTAAGAATCAAGCTAACTGACTGGCTAATAGAAATAATCAAGTTACACAAATCCCAAATTAACACGTACCATTATGTACTCATTACTCATTTTGGCTCTTCATAAAAAAAAAGATGTATCAATTAATCTTGTTAGGTATCATTAACATCAGAATCTAGAGTTTTTCCATTTTTGTTTAATACAAACCTTACACTGCCATTTCATATCCATTATGATTTATATTTACCCATGATAATGATAATTTAATAAATGCCTCAACAATTTAAAATTTTTAACTTCAATTTATATTCAAAATATGAAGGTGAATAACTTCATAGAGAAATTATCTAATAGTGACAATGTGAATAATAAAATAATGAACACTTTCAGAGGTTTATGTCTAGAAACAAAGCACATAGGGGTTTGCATTATTTTACCTGGGGAAGTATCCCACCCAACAATGCTGAGCACAGAGCTGTGAAAGCTCCAGCATTTATAATGTAACTGCAATCACAAACAAGAAACTTGTCTTTAGCAACTTCTACATAGATTGAGCCATCAAAACTTGATGAAGAATCAAATGCAAAATTCCAAACTTACGCTGCCCATTGCATCCCATGTTCAACAAATGCAGAGGATATTGGGGTATCTGGATCAATTGCATAATAAGGTACTAAACCAACTACAACAATTGACACCATCATATACAGTCCACAACAAAGAAACAGTGCACCACCAATACCAAGGGGTAAATCTCGTTGAGGATTTTTCACCTGTTGATCAAGGGAAACATTATCACTACGTTTGAACAATTGAACATCCTCAATTTTTCACCTGTGTGTGCATGTTTTGTATAGTTTGTTTTTGGAAAAATAACAGTTTTTTCTAGAAAGCTTGAGCAAAAAAAGTAATATGGTTACAATAATAATAAATAGCCTTATCTCACTAACCGAGATCAATTACATGGATCACTTGATGCTATTTGGCTCCAAAACAAAATTCTCAGATATATGATTATTTCTCCAAAGTAAGCTTAATAAAAAAAACAATGACATTATCATTGTATACCTCTTCAGCAGTGCTAGCAACTGCATCAAAACCTATATATGCAAAAAATACTGTTGCAGAACCAGCCAGCATCCCATCAAAGCCAAAAGGAAAAACCTGTCAAAGCAAAAGAGACAAATTTTCATTAACTAGAGACCAAACATATAATATGAAGGAAATGCAAAACAAAGATTTAAAGTACCAATTAGCTAGGAATTTTGTCAAATGAAAAAGTACCCCATAGGAAGTTCATATCCACCCCATCCAGACTTGAATCCCACGTAACCACCAAACACTATGACAAAAAGCAATGCACATACATTCAATGATGTCACTATGCCTTGTATCACTGTACTCTGCATGTATTCAGCATCAAAGTTAAAAGCAACTCTCAACCATACATTTGGATTTTTAATTTAAAAAAAATAAAAACAACGATTGGACGGACATGTGCATTGCCCATGGCTCACAATCCGTATGCAGAGGATGCATACCATAAGTTACATTTACATGAACCAAAATGAAAGGGAAACTCTAGCTCATACAGCCAGGAAATATAAACTTGGGTCTATAAATCCCTATACTTTCTCTAAATTTTCAAACAAGTGTTTATAATATATAATTTTCTCTACATTTTGAGTACTACCGGTACTCCGCATCAATAAAATTACTTCTGCTTATAAAAAAAATATGTTTCTATACTGTAAAAATCCCAGTACTTTCGCTGATAGTTGTTAGAATTTCATTCATTTTTGATAAATTATTGAGTCTCTTTAAATATTTAGATAAATTATAGGAATTTAATTCACACATGACATCATTGACTAGGCCATTATAATTTATTGGAGTAACAAAAATGTTATGGACAACTGGGAGCCAATATTAAAAATCTTTAGAAATATACTCTGGTTAATAGGAACTTACCTCCTTGATCCCCACGCACAAGAGCCCGGTAACAACTAATGCCAAAATTGCTGCACAAGGGTCCACAACAATATCTATCCCAGGAATATGCTGGCGCGATAAAAAGAGGGGTAAATTGTCGACACCACCAAAGAGTGCAGCCTAATCATACAAATATATTTATATTTGATGTCAATATTGAATGAGTTTTACGTGCAATTCAAACTAATAAATCTGCTAAATTGTTTATTACATAAAGACGTGCAAAGCATTCAATAGAAATTCTGAACTTCAAAAGCCAAAATTGAAAGAAGAGTTTCCACACTCATACATCAACAAATTTATTTTAGTCGCTCAATACTGAAGAAATAAAAAGATTTTACCAAATGGCATGCCATATTATTAGCCTTTCTGATTCACCTTGTTAATGAAAAGTGAAAATGGATAAAACTGAAACTAGTAGAAATATAAAAGAGCAATCACAAACTCAAAGTTGGACTTGGATGATGATATGATCAACACGAAAACAATTAAAATGGCAATATAAGAACTAAAAACAACAGCGTACCAGATGGGGAGTTATGCCACGAGCAACAGCAGCGCTACCAATTGTATATTCCAGTATCAAGGCCCAGCCAATCAACCAAGCAACACTGCAAAAAAAGTAATAAATTATTAATCAACATAAATCAATTCACAATCAGCCATGTCATCAATTTCTTTTATATATGATCGTGTAAATTTAATTCACAAAGACCTCAATCTGCATATTGAGAAATTTTTTCAGTCTTCCTCAAATTCACAATCCTTTTCTGTATATAGTAATACCCACCTTTGCATGGTTAATTTTTCCTGATCTAAATTTTTCTTAGATTAAAAATAAAGAGGAAGTTATCAAATTAAAAAAATGTAATCGCAAGAAAATTTGTATTATAGGAGTACCGAAAATTCGCTCGCTATATAGAAACACCTTCCCCCCAACGAGGACATGGCCAGTTGTTAAAAAGAACCTTCAGATAGGTTTATATCCATATCAGCATCACCATATTATGACAAATAAGCACAATAACTTTAGTACTGAACTAATATGCAAAGTCAACATTTAACCTTAAAAGGGCAAAAGAAAAATAATAATGATCAAGGTTTTGTTAATGAGTACTTTAAAAGTGCTAATTAAGGAATCAACAGATAAAATTAATTTTTTTAGTTTTGGTTCTTATATTTTAATAAATTATTGTTTAAGTCCTCTAGCTAACGTAATCTAATCGAAAACAGACATTTGATAACATCTCGGTGAACTACATCAACAATAGAGACTAAACAAAATTTTATGAAAGAGAAAGTATTAAAACAAAAAATATTTATTTAAAGTTATTAAAATAAAAAAAATTGCAAAAATGTGAGGATTAAACACATATTTAGATCTTTAAAATATAATACAAGTACATTAATAATATTTTAATTTTTTATTACTTTTGATTCTTTAACCAATATCTAAGTACACTTCTAAAAGAAAGAGTACCCTTCTCCCAGACATATATATGAATAGTGATATGCACTGCCAGCAGAAGGGCAGCGACTAGCCAACTCTGCATAGCAAAAGGCAGAAAGAGCAGCTGCTAATCCAGCAATCAGAAAAGAAATGGCCAAAGCGGGTCCAGCATGCTCTCGTGCAACTGTTCCCACCAGAACATACACTCCAGCACCAATTGTTGAACCAACACCTGATCATCAAATTCAACTTGCAAAACATTTCATAATAACCAAACAACATGCATGCTCTAATAAGATTAAATTAAATCCAACATTCAAATTTTCAAGCAAATGTTGTTCTGTCAATGAGAAAATTCAAGGCGGGAAAAGTTTAAAATCCGACAACATCGTCCAATCATAGACAATAAAAGGAAAGGGTCAAACATGAACATGAACCAAACATTTTCCACCGAATTCCAAGGACAACTACAACAATTCCCCGGAACCCCAGATGAAAACACGATTAAAAATTAAAATTTTTTTCTTGAAATTAAAAAAAAATTGAAATTGAGCTAATTAATCACCAACTGCAATGAGATGAGGAACCGTTAACTCCCTGGCAAGCAAAGCCTCTGTGTTCCTACATGCAGAATCAACCTGCTTCCTTCTAGTCAAAAACTTCAAGGAACACCTTGAAACCTTTTCAGATTGTGAACCAACCGAAACACCCATCAAAGAAAAATAAATTATAAAACTTTGCTTTACCACAAAATCAAATCAATGATTGTGGCCAATTAATTAATCTTATATACAAATTAAAAATGTAATCTCAAGTGACCAATTAATCTTCTCGCATTGCAATGACAAATTGCTCTAGATTGTGGACAGAATCTCAGAGAGCATAGAATTTCCCTGCTTTGTTGTTGTCGTCTTTGTGTTCAAAAAAGGCAAAACTATGGGTGCCTTTTAAAAGAAGAAAGAATTGAAATTCCGAATTTGGTTTTGTGTTGTTTTTCATTTTAGATTTTTTGTCGTAAGAAATGATTGCGAAGCTAAGAGGATGATGATGTTGACCGATGTAGACGAATAAGAAAGACGATTGAAAGGGTATGCTTTTCGCAACATGCCATGCTCCATATGCTGACCCATGATCCACAGGTTTGTTTATAAGTAGGGATACTTATGTATGCCAATGTCCTATTTATGTCACATTACGTATAAGACGTTTCATTTGCTTAAAATAGCAATTCTATCAACAATTATATTTGTACAATTAAAATCTGTCGTAGAATAGTTAATATAATAAAAACAATGATATCGTAAAAAATATGATATCAATAATATAATTAATTTCATTTTATTTTCAACATTGTAAATTTATTTGTTAGATGATATTTGTTTCCTCTCGAATATATATATGTCTATATTGAACAAAATTTTATTGTGAAGTTACACCTTATTTTCATAAGGTAAAATTTATAGTACTATGTTTAATTGAGAAAGTTTGATATTCTCTACTATATGTAAAATAATCGTTACTGTTAATTTTGTATTAATAGGCAGTAGTTTAATTAAAAACATATGCTAATATCTTTTAATTTTTAAGATAATAATAAAATTATAGTTGTTAATTTAAAGAAGGTATACCCTCTCAAATTTATAGGTACGGTAGCTACATCTTTTTATATTTGATTTAAGAACATTTTGTATTCAATTTAATGATATGTTATATTTATTTATTAGATTAAATTATATATTTAGTCTCTATAATTATTATATATCTATAAATTAGTTCTTATATTTTAATTTTTATATAATTTTTTTATTGTTTTACATTTTAGTTTTGTAGTTAACGATTTGGTCTGTACCGTTACAATAATGTTATTGATAGAAGAAACCAAATCATAACTAAATACTTGTGTAAAGATTAAAATATTAATTGTTTTAAGTATATTAGTTATTTTAAGTATAGACTAATAGGTAAATTTTTTAAGTATAGATATTAAAACGTAAGTTTTTTTTTTTCAAACATAGAGACATATTTGTAAACATGTTAAATATATGAATCAAATATATATTTTAACCCATTATAATTTTAAAAAAGTTATATAATTTGAACTTAAGTATCTTAATTAGATGTTTATGCAGCTTTTATAGGGACGAAATACTTAATCAAGCTTATTTTTTTATATGATATATCAAATTTATAATATCTCTAAAAAATACTTTTTTTATATAAGAAATGAAATATTTATTTTATCTGAGATTTAAAATTTTATTGAATCAATTTTATTATATGAATAAATTTGTAATTTTTTTATCATAATATAAGTAAATAATTTTTATATATCAATTCAAAATTTCATTATTTAATTTTTTATTATTTTCTCTATTAATTATGTAAAAAAAATATATGTAGATATATCTAGTTATCTAATTTTTTAATTCTATTATATCGACTCAAAAGATTAGTATCTTTGATATTTTTTAACTGTTATAATTTTTTATCTATAGTGAATTATTTTTAGTATTTTATTAACTATAATTACTATTTATTTATTAATTTATGCGTCTACTAAATTAATAAATTTTATCAATTAATATATATATATATATATATATATATGATTTTAAACTGTAAATGGTATTTAACTTAAATATATGAATTTTCAATATTTTTAAAATTCATAATTCTTTTATTTGGTGCCTTATTTTTCAATTTTTTAAACAAAATCACTAAAAATCTTATACTTTAATTCTTGGTTAAAATATACTTTTAATCTCTATATTTAATGCTTATTTATTAATTAATTTTTACATTTAAAAAAAATTATATTTTAGTCTATGTATAAATACTTTATTATATTTTAATCTTTATCATTATAACATCGTTAATATCGTAACAAATTGTTACTATAACAAATTGCTGTTAACAAGGTTTAACAAACAGTTTCTTATTTAAATTCAATCTGCTATATAGAATATATAGGAGTTGTTATTTTAGATTTATTATTTTTTAAACGTATCTGTTAGAATTGTTAAATTTTTCAGCAACAACTTCATGTATTTATACAGCATATTATTGAGAAATACAACATTGCAGAAAACTATTTTACATGGTATCAGAGCGTGGCCGAAAACCTTGAGACCTGCACATGGAAACCCCAACAAATGGTGGTGAGAGTGCTGCGACATCTTCAGCAATTGAAGATGCTCAAAGAAAGAAAACTTCCCCTTATGATCTCAACTCCAGTGACAATCCTGGAAACATAATTGCTCAAGTGCAATTGAAAGGTGATAACTATGATGAATGGGCTAGAGCTATGAAGAGGTCATTGAGACCCGACGCTATGGCTCTCGCCGTTCAAGCAAATGTGAAGGCGAGGGGTCGTGACAACAGCAAGGTGACTTGCACTCACTGTAACCGAAGTGGTCATGAGGCAGCAGGCTGCTTTCTGCTCATTGGATACCCAAAATGGTGGAGACCGCACTGCTGCGCACCGACACCCACAAAATGGCAGCGATGGAACTGGCTCTCACGCTCCTAAAGGCCCTGTCCGTGCCAACTTAACTCAGAATATAGGGTCTAATCTTGGTAAAAATAATGTGAAACTTGGAGGTTTGAGTAACGAACAGTGGAAAACTTTGGTAGAAATGCTCAATTCATCCAAAGTCTCTCCAAATGAAAGCATGACTGGTAAGTCTAACAATGATGCATGGATTCTTGATAGTGGGGCATCAAATCACATGACAGGTAACTTACATCATTTGCATAATGTGAGAAACGTCTTTGGATGTCCTGTTGGGCTCCCTAATGGGCAATGTGCTCGCTCTACTAAGGAAGGAACAATAAAGTTTACTGAAAATTTACACCTTCAGCATGTCCTTTATGTCCCTCAATTAAACTGCAATTTGATTTCTATTTCTCAATTATCCGATGAGTTAAATTGTAATGTATTCTTCACTAGAAACATATGTGCCATACAGGACCAAACCTCGAAGATGCTGATTGGAGTGGGTGAACGACGGGATGGACTCTATTTCTTTCAACCAACCCCTAAGAAGACAATATGCAAGGTTGAAGGAATGCATGAACTAGAAGTGTGGCACATGAGGTTGGGACATCCTTCATGGAAAACTACTCAGTTTATTTCAAAGGACAACAGTGTTAGCAATTTTAATAAAGTTTGTGATACCTGTCAAAGGTCAAAGCAAACTAGAGACACATTTCCCTTGAGTATCAATCAAGCTTCTAATATATTTGATTTGATTCATTGCGATTTATGGGGTCCATATAGAACTCGCTCATCTTGTGGCGCTTCTTATTTTCTGACTATTGTTGATGATTGTTCGCGTGCAGTGTGGATATTTTTGTTAACTGATAAGAAACAAGTCACGAAAACGTTGACAAATTTTTTTTCTATGGTAGAAAGGCAATTTGAAAAAAGGGTTAAAACTGTGCGCAGTGACAACGGAACAGAATTTATCTGTATGAAAAATTATTTTTTGGACCATGGAATCGTTTTTCAAACTTCATGTATAGGCACACCTCAACAAAATAGGCGAGTCGAACGCAAACATCGTCACATTCTAAATGTTGCACGTGCTTTACGATTCCAAGGAAATTTGCCAATTAAATTTTGGGGCGAGTGTGTTTTAACAGCCGGTTATTTGATCAATCGAACTCCAACCACAATACTAAAAGGCAAGACCCCATATGAAGTGTTAAATGGACAAGAGCCTTCCTATACACATCTACGTGTTCTTGGCTCTCTCTGTTATGCTCACAATCATAATACTCGTGGTGACAAATTTACAAGTCGAAGTAGGCAATGTGTATTTATGGGATATCCCTATAGGCAGAAGGGTTGGAGACTTTATGATTTAGAAACTCATGAGTTCTTTGTATCAAGAGATGTTCAGTTTTTTGAAAATCAATTCCCCTTCACAAATTCAGAAAACGACCTTAGTTCTTCTCTTCTCATACCTACTGAGCCCAAGGTCTTCGATGATGAAGAGCACTTGCGAGTTAGGGGGCACAAGTCGTTCTATAATGGACGTTCCTACTGCTACATCAACATCTCCTGCAGCACACATCAGGGACATTGCTATCTCTTCTTCTGCTGCTACTATAACTGAACCTGCAGCTTCCTCCACTACTGTCGCTGAGTCCTCTCCTGTTGTTGCAAGCACTGATGATTCTGCCCAGGACCTAGAGGCGCCAGAAACTCTGAATTCCTCTCATGATACACCTCCCTCTTCACTTCTTGGACGTGTCAAACAAAAATCCACCAGATTATAGGGGTTCGTCACTAATACTGCACAAATATTGAGTCCATTCCCGTTTTCATCAGCTCCATCATCGTCTTCAGGTACTCCATATCCTATTGCTCACTATGTTAATTGTGACCGATTTTCTGTGCCCCATAGGCAATTCCTTGCAGTACTTACAACAGAGAGAGAACCTTTGTACTTTCATGAGACAGTACAAGATCCTCGGTGGCGACAGGCTATGCAAGATGAGATTGATGCTCTCGAACGAAACGATACCTGGACCATACAACAATTGCCTCCTGGTAAGAAAGCTCTTAGATGCAAATGGGTGTATCGTATCAAATACAATTCTGATGGTACCATTGAGCGTTTTAAAGCTCGCTTAGTAGTTCTTGGAAATCATCAGAAGGAAGGCATAAATTATACAGAGACCTTTGCCCCAGTTGCCAAAATGGTAA